GGGGTTAGGTAGAGAGGGGGTTAGGTAGAGAGGGGGTAAGGTAGAGAGGGGGTTAGCTAGAGAGTGGGTTAGGTAGAGGGGGGTTAGGTAGAGAGGGGGTTAGGTATAGAGTGGGTTAGGTAGAGAGGGGGTTAGGTAGAGAGGGGGGTAGGTAGAGAGGTGAGAAATGAAATGTGTAGAATGCGCCCTCAGACATGAAAAGGGTGAGTGATAATGGAGGGGTAGTTCTAGTTTTTCGAGCACGCAGTCGGGAATTACCCATTCTATTGTTGTTTCTTTGATCACTCATGTGTCTTCAAATTATTTGAATTGTAGAGGAACTAGACCGAAATAAACAAGTAATAGTCTCAGATAACCAACCAACAGAGTGAGGTGACCAACCAACAGAGTGAGGTGACCAACAAAAGACTGGGATAACAAACAAAAGATTGAAATAACCAACAAAATACTGAGATAACCAACCAACAGACTGAGATAACCAAAAAATACTGAGATATCCAACCAACAGACTGAGATAACCAAAAAATACTGAGATATCTAACAGACTGACATAACCACAAAAAAAAATACTGAGATAATATATCAACAGACTGAGATAACCAAACCAAGTTAGATAACCAACCAAAAACTAAGATAATGAACCAATGGACTGAGATAGCCAACCGAGTGAGATAACCAACCAACAGACTGAGATAATAAACCAACAGACTGAGATAACCAACCGAGTGAGATAACCAACCAACAGACTGAGATAATGAACCAACAGTTTTGGATAACCAACCAAGTGAGATAACCAACCAACAGACTGAAATAAGCAACCGAGTGAGATAACCAACCAACAGACTGAGATAACCAACTGAGTGAGATGAGATAACCAACTGAGTGAGATAACCAAACAACAGAATGAGATACCAAACAACGGAAAGATGATCAACTAAGTGAGATAACCAAACAAAAGACTGAGATAACAAACAGACTGAGATAACCAACAGACTGATATAACCAATCAACAGAGTGAGATAACCAATCAACAGACTGAGATAACCAAACAAGTGAGATTGTCAAACAAAAGACTAAGATAACCAACAGACTGAGATAACCAATCAACAGAGGGAGATAACCAACCAACAGACTGAGATAACCAACAAAATACTGAGATAACCAATAAAAGACTGAGATAACCTACAAAATACTGCGATAACCAACAATAAACTGTGATAACCAATAAAAGAATGAGATAAACAACAAAATACTGTGATAACCAACAAAGACTGAGATAACCAACAAAATACGGAGATAACCAGCAAAATACTGAGATAACCAATATAAGACTGAGATAATCCATAAAAGACAGAGATAATCAATAAAAGACTGAGATAACCAACAAAATACTGAGATAACCAATAATAGACTGAGATAACCAATAAAAGACTGAGATAACCAACAAAATACTGAGATAACCAACAATAAACTGAGATAACCAATAAAAGAATGAGATAACCAACAAAATACTGAGATAACCAATAATAGACTGAGATAACCAATTAAAGACTGGGTTAATCAACCAACAGACCAAGACAACCAAAAGACACGAGAAAATCAATCAGCAGACAGAAATAACAGACTGAGTTAACAAAGTGAGACAACAGACTAGGATAACAGACTGGATATATCCAAAAGACTTGAGATAATCAGCCAACAGACTGAGATAACCAACCCAAATGCTGAGGTGACTAAACCCAAAATTTACTTGAACGATTTCAGCACAACACTAAATTTGAAACGACGCAGGAGAAAGGCCATTAAATGCACCTATTAATGACAACCGTGTGTCGATCTGTTCGTGTCACGGAACACCCCCCCCCCCCCCCCCCCCCCCCCCCCCCCTTTTTCTTTTTTTCCTACTCCCCCTATCATGGAATGGAAAACAATAACACTGGATCGTCCCCAGCCTGTGCTATAGCTGAACCGCCGCGTTGTTCTTTAGCAACATGAGCCCGTTAGCTGTGTACTTAACTCATCCCTCTCGCCAATCGCCGTGGACGTGATGCAAGGGTTAAATTGCTGATTTAATTGGGCTGTTGTAACAAGCTTTTCAAGAGGTTATAATACCGGATTTGATTGATTTTAAGTTTGAAAATAAAAATTCAAACTACATTCATTGCTACATTGAAGTAAGTTGACGTTTTCTAAGTAGACTTTTTTTTTTAAGTTGACGTTTTCTAAGTTGCGTTTTCTAAGTTGACGTTTTCTAATTTAATCAAGTTAACAGTGTAGGTCTGCGAGTTTGAGCTCAAAGTTGCCTGGGTATTATTTATTTTTATTCAACATTCTGGATGTCATGGTGCTTTGATTGACTTCACAACATCCCTGCAAACGGCAAGTTGACTTATCATCGACGATTTAAAAACTTTGGACAATTCATTTTCCAGAAATTAATTTTACCGCTGAACTTGCAAGTGGGCACGTGACAGAGCTTCGGAGGAGCGTGTTTTATTCACGTGTCATGTTTGCGTTGACAAGGGAGTGTACGATGTTTGTGTGTGTGTGCAAGTGTATGTCGATTTTTAATAAACAGGAGAGGAAAATATTTTTTTTTATGTTGAGTGAGGGTGAAAATAATATGTTACTATAGCGGACATTCAACTCTGACCAAAGAATGCGACTGGGGTCGTATAAATATAACAGTATAAAAGTAAACGACTGAAGTTAAGGCGTCAGGCAATTAATTATCTGTTGTTGTTGTTGTTGCGTGTTTGTTTGGTCTATTTGATTCAATCTATTTCATGCAAAGTCAAAAAAGTGATTATAATCCTGAAGAACCAAACATATATTTATTTCGTAGTTTGTGAAAATGATCAATTTATTGCTCTGAAAACCATCGTATTTGATGTGTTGGCTCCTGAGACAGACGAAATTTCGGCTTCGGTTCAGTGCCGAAAGTTGCCATTCAATCACTTTCGGCGTATTTTCAGTTTCAGGCGAAACAGAAAAGTTAACTTTCAGTTTTATTGCGGTTTCGGTCGAAAGTGATTTGAGACTTTCGGCGATCTGTCATATGAATCCCCAGTGCGTAGGCTACATAATATATGGACTACCCCTTAATTTAGCAGGGTGGGGAGAAGTGTGTGAACATATGTTGTTGTTGTTGTTCTTTTGCGTACGTCATGCATCACTCTAGCATTCAAATTTGGCTACACTGACGGGCGTGTACATTGACGGGCGTGTACAATGACGGGCGTGTACATTGCATGGCGTGTACTTTGACAGGCATGTACATTGACGGGCGTGTACATTGACGGACGTGTACATTGACGGGCGTGTACATTGACGGCCGTGTACATTGCAGGGATGAATTTAATTTTAATGCCATCATAAATTTTGAATTGGAGCTCATTTTATTTGAATTTTTTTTTTTAATGCATTCTCAACTGCTCCGCGTAGTAGCGTTATATTTTGAAATATTGTATGAGATTTAATATGCGGCATTTGAAAACTATTTTAAGAAGTCAAAAAGCAGTTGTACAATTTTAATGCCCCAATTTTGTTCCACCACTGCTGTTCCCATTCCCACAATACAGCTTTTAATACAAGATATTTAAGCAAAACATACCAATAAAACATCCATAATTGCATAGGCTGAGCTTTCCATCTATACTAGGGTGACCAAGCGTCCCGTAAAAACGGGATTGTCTCGTTTTTTCACGAGCGTACCCGGTGTCCCGAAAAAGTCTCTCGGGACGCTTAACTGCCCCGGTTCTAAAACCAAACACATTTTTTAAATCACATGGCTGCACTGTTCCCCCTCCACCACTCTGCCGACGCTGCAAAAATTATAGTTTTCGTTTATGATATGCCTCGGAGTTTAAATCAAATTACAAAAGTGAAGGTAAATTTTTAAAGAATTCTAGGTCTCTAAATAGTTAAAATGAGAATATTTCAATAAACAGTTTCCGGCGGAGGCCCCCCGGACCCCTCTTTAGCTGGAGTGTACCCCCTCCCCCAAACCCTCCTTGAGTGTGTCCCGTTTTTCTCAGTTCATGATTTGGTCACCCTAATCTATACCAAATGTGTCTAGGTAGCGTTGTAATAATATTGCATGAATCCCCCCCCCCACACCTTTTTTCCAAGTCAAATTTTTCTCTTATCATACAACTTTAAAATTCATTTTAACAAATTTAAATTACTTTTTAATTCCAATGGTAATAGCCAAAGTATTCGTTAGATGCTTATCTATTAAAACTCAAAATGATCTCATTTTTTTTAACAACAATAGTGAACATTTTGATTCTTTCCCCATCATGTTTCGATGTATGAAGAACATTAGGCGCAATCGAATTTCAAAACATCTAATTATTTCGGCTTCGGTTTGGACCACAAGTCTCAGTAGGCCTTTGGTTTTGGCTTCGATTTCGACCCGAAAGTCTCGTTAAGCTTTTTGTTTCAGCTTTGGTTTCAGCCGAAAGTCATTTTTAAATAACTTTCGGTCTAACTTCGGTTTCGGCTGAAATCAGAAAATCAGTTTCGGTTGGCTTTCTGTATTTATTTCTCTGAAAAACCATGTAGTAGATGATTAGATGTGTTGGCTCTTCTGCGCACGAGTTACTTGTTATAAAATACTGAACCATTCCTTATTGACTGAATCCCTTAATATTGACTGAACCATTCCTTATTGACTGAATCCTTTAATATTGACTGAACTCCTCAAAATTGACTGAACCATCCTTATTGATTGAACCCCTCAATAATGTCTTAACGATTCCTTATTGACTGAAACCTTCCATATGGACTGAACCCTTCCTTATTGACTGAACCCTCTTCGAAATGACTGAACTCTCCCCCCCCCACCCACCCTAATTGAAAAATGACTTAACCACTAGGATATAAAAAAACACGCTTTTCAAAGAAAATACTTAAAGTTTTTATATACATGTCCCTCAACACGTCAGAGTTGTTACAGTCACAAGCGTTCAAAAGGCGTGACCATTCATATTCCTCTAATGATAGAAGCTCTACGTACCGTGCTACCCAGCAGGGACCTCATCGTTTGCTCTACCTTAATACTTAATACTTAAGGTAAATGCACTTCACTCAAAGTGCCATCAAGTTATACCAGGAGTGTGAGCTGTATACCAGGAGTGTGAGCTGTATACCAGGACTGGGAGCTGTATACCAGGAGTGGGAGCTGTATACCAGGACTGGGAGCTGTATACCAGGAGTGGGAGCTGTATACCAGGAGTGGGAGCTGTATACCAGGAGTGGGAGCTGTATACCAGGAGTGGGAGCTGTATACCAGGACTGGGAGCTGTATACCAGGATTGGGAGCTGTATACCAGGACTGGGAGCTGTATACCAGGAGTGGGAGCTGTATACCAGGAGTGGGAAATGTATACCAGGAGTGGGAGCTGTATACAGGACTGGGAGCTGTATACCAGGACTGGGAGCTGTATACCAGGAGTGGGAGCTGTATACCTGGAGTGGGAGCTGTATACCAGAAGTGGAAGCTGTATACCAGGAGTGGGAGCTGTATACCAGGAGTGGGAGCTGTATACCAGGAGTTGAGTTGTATTACAGGTGTCGGGGCTGTATACCAGGAGTCGGGGCTGTGTACCAGGAGTCGGAGATGGTAGCCGGAGTTGTATACCAGGTGTCGTTTCTTTGTACCAGGAATGTGAGCTGTATGCCAGGAGTCGGAGCTGTATAACTCGTTTCGCCATTTCATTCATTTACTAAGTTTGAAAGCAGTCCTTTCATTTATATTTTCTAGCTGTATACCAGGAGTGGGAGCTGTACACCATGAGTCGGAGCTGTACACCATGAGTCGCAGCTGTATACCAGGCGTTGGAGATTTATTTCAGGAGTGGGAACTGTATACCAGCAGTTCGGTCTTAATCACCCCACCCTCTGCACCCCCCCCCCCGCCATTGACACATTATGATTCACCCCATGCATGCATTCATGTCCTGACCGGTATGTGCTCGCTCGACAAAGGTGGTGTGTCCTCTGTGTGTGCCTGTACCTGTGGAGCTGTACACCACGAGTCGCAGCTGTATAACCGGCGTTGGACATTTATTACAGGAGTGGGAACTGTATACCAGCAGTTCGGTCTTAATCCCCCCACCCTCTGCCCCCCCCCCCCCGCCATTGACACATTATGATTCACCCCATGCATGCATTCATGTCCTGACCGGTATGTGCTCGCTCGACAAAGGTGGTGTGTCCTCTGTGTGTGCCTGTACCTGGATTTTATGATCTAGAATCTAGTTTCTAGATTCTAGAGAAATATTGACACGGGAACTTATTCACTCTGACTTCAGATCTACTAAAAATAATATAAGCACTTAATATAATAATCAAAAATCATGTGTGGGTTTCCTTTTACATAAGTGAGTGTTAATCCCCCCCACACCATCCCCCTCTTGTTTCTTGTTGTATTTTTATACATTCTATTTAACTTAGGGTGACCAAAAGTCCCGTAAAAACGGAATTGTCCCGTTTTTTCACGATCGTACCCATTTTCTCGAAAAAGTCTCTCGGGACTTCTAAATGTCCCGTTTTTTGTTTTTTTTAACCAAACATATTTTCTAATCACTAAAACGTCCTAATTTATAACATAACTTCAAATAATATTTTAGCTAGCTGTGTAGCCAGTGCCAGTAGTGATGTGGGCTCGCGTGATGGCTGCTCCGTTCCCTCTCCACCACAGTGTCTCTGTCATAGATCTTATATTAAATATATAGCGAAAGACACGAGACTTGGAGCCACAGGGGGTTGGGGGGGGGGGGAGGATGTAACTGTGCAGAAAACAATTTTGATCCCACGACCGCTACGTGTAATGTGTTGGTCTTATGTATGATCCTACCGGCCTGTTCGTGTCAGAGTGACAGATGTTTGTTTTGGGTGTTGAACTTTTATTATTTAATTTTATATTATCTTCTCATGTAAACAATAATTATACCCACGCGTCAGTGTAAGTTTATGGATGAGTATTCCAAAGAGTGGAACTATATTTAAAAAAGACGCTATGAAAGTGAAGTCGAGTGCACAGTTTGCATAATGTTTTTAGTATTGGTCATGGTGGACGTTCAGACATAAAACAACACATCACATCAGTGAAACATAGGAAAAGACTGAGTGCCCAAGTAGATTTCTAGGTTAGATTTCATAGTTAAATGAGCATATTTCAATAAACAGTTCCGGCCGAGGCCCCCGGACCCCTCTTTAAGTGGAGGGTATTACCCCCTCCCCCCCCCCCCAAAAAAAAACCCCAAAAAAACAAACAAACAATGGTTAGATTTCATAGTTAAATGAGCATATTTCAATAAACAGTTCCGGCCGAGGCCCCCGGACCCCTCTTTAAGTGGAGGGTATTCCCCCCTCCCCCCCCCAAAAAAAAACACCAAAAAAACCAAAAAAAAAACAACAACAAAAAACAAACAAACAAACCAGCAACAAAACAACCGTCCTTGAAAGCGTCCCGTTTTTTCCAAAGCATGATTTGGTCACCCTAATTTAACTTGCCATTTTGGGTCAAATCTTGAAACTCAATTTTGACCCACTTTCCGACGTCCTAATGAGCTGAAATGTTGTTCACTTAACAACCCCAAATGACAATACAACACTTCATAATCGAGTAGGTCACTAGATACCGTCACTGACCCCTGAGTAACCTAGGCGGGTCAAATATTGCATCTCAATTTTGACCGACTTCCCGACCTCTATTTGAGCTGCAACAACTCTGAAGCTTTTTTGTTATATTTTTTTCGGGGGCGGGAGGGGGGTGTTGATTACTTTGGCCTTGGGTTGTTTCCCTTAGAAAGTATCTTGTCTTAAAACGTTCCAAATAGCTATTCAAAAATCATGTTCACATTCAGGCATAGGCCTATGTCGATTTCCATTAGTATCAGCACGGGTCTTATTTTGTCGTTAGGATTTCCCAACCGCTTTTTTAAAAAAAATTGTTATTATTATTTTTTTTGTTTGTTTTGTTTACATGGCTGGGTTGTTTGCCCTGCGCACAACCGTCTATGGGAACTGCCCCTTACAGCTCTCTAGGTAGCTGCCTAAATTTTCGGGTAAGGTTCCCTGGCTTTGGTGAACCCTTCCCCTTCTTTCAAGTCAGTGGGTTCTGATTTTGTCAGCACCTAGTATTTTATTTCCCCAGTTTCTGAACTTTTCCCCACATTTGCTAAAACATAAAATACATTTTATGTCTGTGTTTTGTGGGGGATCGTTGGTGGGTTCCTAAACTTTTTTTTCACGGACTTCACGACTTGACCCTAGGCCCCTTGCAGTAAACTTTCCGTGAATTTCACCACAGTCTCGAGTACAACATCGTGATTTTTATACCCTTTTTTTTTCCAGTAGGAAAGTTTACTACTGCCACACCGGAAATTGATTTAAAGCTGGAGAGGTCTGAATTTCACGGAAGTTCTACCGCTAAAGGTTGTGTATAAAATTAAATCTTAAGATTAATGTAATTAAGGTAACCACTACAGCTACACTAAATCCAGGCATAAAAAACTATTTAATAAAAGCCTAAGAGGTAGTCGTTGCATTTCCATTTATTAGCCTACTACTCTTGACTGTCAATAATTTTCAAAGTCAAAATGCAGAAAATTTGAAGTCCTGACGCTGCCTAAATAAAACTCTGAAACATTTTTGGCTGATTCTTAATTTTCACCCCATGACGTGATCTCAGTGTCCACTGTCACTGTGATCTGACACCAGTGCATGAGTTATTACTCAAACTTCAATTTAAAACACCTGAAATGGTCAGAGAGTAGAATTGTCCTAATAAACGTGTAGTGTGAGAATTTTTTAATTTTTAAAAATGTTTTTTGAAATTCAGTTACTTTGACTTTAGGTCAGGTTCATGAGTAAAAAACATGGAAAAAATGAGAACTCAGTTGACAACTGCCAAGGTCAAGCCTCATTTAACGCATTATATATCATATACCACTGATTTACTGACTGATTTTTGAAACACAAATTATATTAACCGGCACTTATGTTAATTACAGATGGCAGAATTTAATCCTGGAACTTCCAGTGGAAGGGCACGTGGTCGTGGTCCCATTATGAAGAAGCCTCCTGAAGAGTCTGTACGACCTGGCCAGGCTCCTTCACAAACAGATAGCCAAAGAGTATTGGTAAGTTCTCATTATGTATAGAGTTGGTTTTCATAAAAATCTTAACTCTATACTCCTTGCATTTTTCAATTTTTTCTTGAGATTTCTAGTGACCTTACAATGAACAAAAGTTAATAACTTTTAGAATCCATGTCTTAAGTTCATGATGTTGATATCAATTTGTGGAGAAATGCACGATGTTTCTATAGATGTTTGTTTCTAAACATATAATTTCAGCAATAACTTTTGAAAAAAGTAATGCATAATAATTGGTAAATGAAAATGTGTAATAAATTTTTAGCTGATCAGATGCAATGAAGGAAAAAAAAAACTACCTGGAATTATTTAGATCTAATAAAATATCTTTATTCAGAAAGAAAATTCATTTTTGTATGTCATAATTTAGAACATTTTGTTATTGTTATGAGCATATGACCAAATATAAAATATTTTGTAAAATGTGTAAGAAAATGGGAAATTTAAAAAAAAAAAAAAGTTCACAGACCTGTTTACTCTTACGATTTTGGCGTACAATGTACGATTTTGTGGCGTATACATTATATATGCTGTATGTTTATTTTTTACTATTAAGATAATGTATTAAACGATTTTGTCATGATATTGTACGACTTTAAGAGTTTGAGGGTAAACAGGTTTGAGTTCACCAACCCTCTTCTAAGTATTTACAAAAATTACAGGTTATTGTTATTTTAACATTTTAAAATTATTTCCACATTTCAAAACATATCAGTAGACAATTGAAACTTCATGGTATTCAGTTTCTTGTTTTTTTTTAGAACAAAGGTGTCACATGTACACATTTTGATTTTGGATTTCTTAATACTTTTGTTGTTGCTTTCCTAATTTATAGCACACTGTATAATTTCAACAATAAGAGGTTCAAACAAAAATAGTGCATAATTTTGTTAAATTTGTGCAGTCAGGAATTATTGGATGTATTCTATATTGTATTTTGTGTTCTTTACATTTGGGGCCCTTGGAAATTATCAGTTTTAGTAAATCACCTAATGCTTAAAAGATTTCCACTGTGAGGTCAGAGAGTTAAATAATAGATAGGTTTTTTTCATCAATATCCAGATATTCTTTTCAACTATCCTAAAGGAGTTATAGCTGGCAATATCAATAAAATTAAAAAAGGGCCTGTCCAGTGCTGATCTCATTATTTAGTGTGATATATATTTATCAACTGGTATACAGCACACAGGAATGAATTGTATGATTTCAAAATCTGATTTGACAATATTTGGGTTTCTTACCAATAATTATGTTCCTCAGAAGATTTACTCACATAGAAATTGATTCATATTTTCACGAGTAATATTTTCATAGCAATTGCCCTGCAACTTTGATTAGCCTCAAATAAAAATGTGCCTAAGGTGGCCACTTTCACTTTGGCATGTCTTGTGTTTCTCAAACTCGCAAAACATATCAAAAACATTAAAATTTAAATTTTTCTTCCAAATATACGATGACAAAAATATAGAATAATTTTAAAGATACAAAATTTAATGTGAGAAAATGACCCGCATATATATGAGGAATGAAAAGAATTAAATTTTAAAAATATTCATTACAGCCTGGTTTAACTAAAGGAGCAAAAAAAGTTTTTAAAAACCCAATAACAAACTGCCCCACTTCTTTTTATTCCTTAATATGCTAGATGTCACAAAGCATGGGGAGTGAAGCTTTTTATGTCGTTTGAATGATTGACGCAAATAAATAGGGCTTTTTGAGTTCCTACATTTAAACACTAAAAATATGAAATTTTTATTTCATTTAAGAAATTGCAAAACATACTTGTGAATTTATCACAGTAAAATAAACATTTGTATGGCAGTAGCATAAAAAGATTTATTAAACACCTTACTTTCAATTTTTTAAATAAAAAAAATCACTTTCAGTTAATTGATTTGATTCCCTGTTAAATATTTTTTTTAGAAGCGACTTCATCTATCATTAACTTGTTCACTTTTCTGCATATTTTTATCCAGCAAATTCTGTATGCTAAAAAATAATGCTGATATTGCAGCTTGTATTTTTCAAGGAGCTTCTATGGTGAGAGAAAGGTCTAATGAAAATAATGCTGATAAACAAATAAGCATTTGATTTACAGGGACTTTCTAGGGCTAGAGGAAGGTCTCATGAAAGGACTCCAAGGATTGATCCTGGTGTACTTGGAGATGTGAGAAGGCAGGTCTCTGAAAGACTGCCAGATAATCCTAAAATGCCAAAGGGGGATGCTGTTGCTCAAAGTGGTGACCAGGAGCACCTGTCTGAGAGAATGGGAGCAGTAAGACTCTCTAAACGCACTGCATATGATAAATACACTATGGATGAGTGGAGGCCAGCATCAAATAAAAATTATGGTATTTATTTCTTATGAATTATGAGTTTAAATATTTTTCTTTTAAACGTAGTTGAAGAAAAACGTATGTTCATGCTAATAAGTAAAAACTTAAAAAGTGTTTGGCTGTATGTCATACAAACTAGTGGGCACTCCAGGTAGATCTTGGCTGTATGTCATACAAACTAGTGGTCACTCCAGGTAGATCGGACTCTTCACCCGTGGATGGTGAGTCTTCTAAGAGCAGGAAACCTATGACTGCAAACCCTGCAGCGGAAACAAAATGCTCAAGAAACCTAGGAGAAAAAAAACTATATTGCCAACCGTATGGCTAATCACCAAATTTACTCTGTACAAGCGAACATAACAATTAAAAATAATTGCAAAGTTTTTTCTAAAATTCATCTTTGTGGTGAAATTACTTATATTATTCAGAGATGGGGATGACTCATGTTTGAGTAATCACCTGCTTGTGTCTAGGTGTTTTACATTTAATTCATTTCACTCATGAGGATAATTTTTCAATCATATGCACTCATGTGTAAATCAAAAGAAGTCTATAACCAATTTCATAGAAATGAAATGAACTTATTTATTTACATTGAAATTACAGAACTTCATAGAAGTTATAAAAATGTAAGGATTAGAGAATTCATATTCATAGCATATGCTAATAGCTTTGATTGTATACCATTTACAATATATGGTCTAAGGACTATGACTATATGGGGCTCCCATATGGCCTAAAATTATTCATTGTACTCATTGCCTTGCAATAAAATTTGATATGATATAAGACCGTTTATAACTTATTAATATAAAATAATTGATGATCTGGCTTGATCGATCAATATAGGAGGTCACCCGAAAGTCCATTCCTTCATGGCCTCTCTTAAGTGGTTGTCACAACAGTGCATTGTGGAATAGCCTGTACAATGTAGGATGTGGACTTCCCATGGGTGTTTCTTGGGTGTAGATTTCTTGCAAATTGTGGTCATATAAATCACAGTCTTGGAATTTGGATGTCCAGCTTGAGTTCATCACAATGTTAAGGAAAAATTCTATCCGCTCCATTATTTTTTCCACTACAAAAATTGAAAATGTCAGAGGTCGTTACTGTTATTTAAAACTGTTATCTTTATTATTTTATTTAGGAACCAGCGGCACTAAAATCGGGCTGAGATCAAACTATTTTGACGTTTGTTTGAATGAAGATCTACACATTTTTCAATATCATGTGGCTTTTAAGCCAGAAATTGAAAATGTGAGAATCAAATACTCTTTGATAGCTCAACTTTCAAATGTTCTTGGGACTACAAAGTGTTTTGATGGAGCAATCCTTTATTTACAAACCCTCTTACCTAAGGATGTAAGTACTGGAATTTTATAGAGATGCACTTTAACTACTCTGAAAAAAAAATAAGAAAAGGATTAAAGAAAGTTCATTTTTCCATCAAAATTTAAAAAAGAAACTGAATTAATCATGGTATTATTTAGTATTTTGAAACCAAAGTCTCGCAATTACAGAGATACAAATTGTGGTAAAATATTATGAATCTAATAAAGGCAATCATTTATCTCTTCCACATAGAATTTCAGTGGGCTTAATAAAATCATACTTTTTTAAATGTGCAAATTTCCTTATTTCACATGCATAATGTTGAGATTAAAAGTTAAAAATAAAATCTTTTGGGGTGAATGTGTGTGTCAGACCTATTTACTCTTACGATTTTTGCGTACAATGTCTGATTTTGAACGTCTTTTACGCTTGTACGCCAATACCTGTCAGAACTAAGATTTTAAGAGACTGGGTTGAGAATAAATACATTCCGGTAATTCTTAGGATTTTAAAAAAATTAATGAAAAGAATATTTTCCGTTGTTAGTTTAAACTGGTATTTGCACTCTTCATCCAACAGTGAATTGATCGAGAAATACAATTGGTTGGGGACCATATATAATTATGTTACATTTGCCCTGAAAGGAAAGGGGAATGGAGAGGTGTTGATATAGGAGATTTTTAACAGGTGGGCGGTGAGGGGGGGGGGCTAAGATTTAAATCTATAAGATTAACACCGCCACGTTTTCGCCAGAATTTTGTAATGACAGTGGTGATGGTCATACTGTTTTTTTGCGTTTTCATAATGAACTCGTTAAGCACAACAACAGTAACATTATCTTAGTCGCCCAAGCAACAATTTTAGTCAATCTGAGGCAATCCTTATAGTACGTACACATTGAGGTGGGAGAGGGCTTGTCCATTTTTAAGATTTTGCCTACGCATGTGTGTATATAGCCAGGCTGGGGGTGTGTGTCTCGGCAGAAAGTAGCAATTCTGCGGAGGTCCCTTATGGACAACCCCTATATGATTTTATAACACTGCTAAAAAAAATGCTTTTTTTCGAAATCTGTTAACCAAATAGCAGGGGTCCTCAAACTTTTAATCCTGGGGGCCGGTTCACATTCCTCTGCTACTTGCGGGCTGGTTCACTAGTTATTAATTTGAAAATAGAAAGTATGAATTTCCTATCTTAATCATACCCTTATATTATCGCTTGGAAAAAAGCAGGAAAAAACATGTTATTAGTATTTCAATACGAAGTATGGGTCTGCTTTGGGCTTAGATGGACAATGTCTGATTCCATATTTGTTCTTGCTATCATATTTTGGTTGTAATTAAATCATTTTTTTTTCAGCCTATGACATGTTTGACAACGCGTCAAGATGACTCAAAAGTTAACGTCACGTTTACTTTTGTTTGTGAGGTCTATGCAAATACACCCCAATTTTTGCAAATTGTAAATTTGCTTTTTAAAAGGTGTGCACTGAGACACAATTTAAAATTAACTATTGGTAATATGTAAAAATTTTATATCACTTTCATACCAATTTTTCAACTGTTATATTTAATGTTATTATTATGTATAAATTTTTATCTCAAATATTTTATTACATGTTCTTATTTTATATAGAGCACAAGTGGCCCTTCAAATGAAGCTAATCAGGCATAATTTCTTCATGCCCCAGCTGAGTATCCAAGTGAAAGAGCACAAGTGAGGCATTCAATTTATATCTAATTTTTTTTTGTAATTTGAAAGTACCACTACTCATAACATTTAATAAATGCAGCTATTGTTTCTGAATACTTCAAATCACAAAATTAACTCACTAAAAATTAACCACCTGAAAAACTGACATTTCAAGTGGTAAGTGTCCTACAGTGCTAAAAAAGTCAGCTCTTTTTTCTTTAAATTTACCATGTATAATGGCTAAGGTTCTTGCGTAAAAATCAATTCTGCCTTATTTTTATCAGAATAGAGGTCATGCCTGGGTATGCAACTTCCATCTTACGTTACGATTGCGGTAACTTGCTTGTCGTGGAACCTATTCACAAGCTACTGAGAGTGGATACAGTGCATGATGTTCTTCTTTTCCTTTATAGTAATTACAAAGAAGACTTTAAAACAAAGGCCCTCAAAGAACTAGTTGGGCAAATTGTTATGACCAGGTAATGTACTAATTATGCCCCAAAAACCCAACTAAATGATTAAAATGTAAAATATTCTGATAGAATTAAGAAACAATTATATAATTTTATTTTTTATCAATAAAAATCAAATATCTTCAAAAGTTTTTTTGGCAGTCTTAAAAAACAATTATTTTACTCTACAGATATAACAACAAAACATATCGGATTGATGACATTGATTTTAGGGCCTCTGCTATTGATAAGTTTGAAAAAAATGGAGAAGAAATCAGTTTTCAAGAGTATTATTCCAAAGTAAGTCTTATCAGTATTTCAGCTTGCCCAATAATAACTTTACTTTTCTTGCTAGCTAATCAAAATGATGAGAGAATCCCTGGAAATTAATTTCTGGAAATTAAAACATTTCAACTTGTACTAATTTAAAAAACTCAAATGTTTTTGAGACATTGTTTTTGTTCATTAAAGTTTGTCTTTAATCTTTATTGTGCAGTTGATCTAGTATAAGTAGATCTAGTCTGATGTTTTTCTCATTTGTGTTTCCTATCAGGTGTTTGACTGTTAAAATAGATGAATGCAACAATCTTTTAAATTTAGAGCTTCATTGTAAATGTTAAGTTTTAATATTTGCAAATGCTGTTAGGTATAAATGTTTAATTTATAATTTCTCTTTTTTATACAAACCAACCTGATTCTAATTTATTATTTGTTTCTGGTAGATCTGGAATTTAGAAATAAGGGATCCAAAACAACCATTGTTATTAAGTAAGCCAACAGAAAAGGATTTGAGAAGAGGGGAAAGACAGATAGTTAGGCTAGTTCCTGAGCTGTGTGTTCTTACAGGTAAGTAAATTAACTTATTCTAAAAAAATGTATGTGTACACGTAAGGTGGAGCTTTATTTATGTATTTTTTTTAAAGTAACTATGCCACTACTGAACATTTAGGAAATTAAGGTTAAATTACCATAAGTTGATCAGTCTAAAAAGAATTTAGTTGTCTAGCTAGCTAATTTTTGCAGATTACAGGTACATTTAAATTTTATCATTTAATGATTTTTTTCAAAAACTTTGCTGTGTTCTTTTAATCGCTAGGTTTAGGGGACAAAGTCAGGTCTGATTATAAAGTCATGAAAGATCTGGCTGTGCATACTCGCCTAGATCCATCGTCCAGAATCAAGCTTATTCAAAGTCTACTTGATAGAATTACTAGGTAATATTTTAATTGATTTTTCTACAGATACATGACATAGTTTTTGCATGTTAAATATGAAAAATCTTTCAATAGCATGTCTGTTACATGCCTTTATATGGTTACACAAATATAATTTGTGTTAATATTGACTTGTTAGATGAACAATACATGGCAAAGGGCTGAATACCTATATACAAAGAAAAATGATACCAAAGCTATATACAAATATACATATATAAAAACTATTTTAACTTACAGCACAGCAAGTGAAAAAGTTAATACTAGAAAGGTACAAATATTAAACCAAACACACAGTGAAAATCTAGTCTTGTAAGGCTCCTATAAAGGTAAGTCTTGTAAATTCTGCTGTTCAGTCGACCGGTTTATTTATAGTGAGGGAGTCGAAACCCTCCAGAAAAAGTCTTGAAATTCAAATTACCAGATTGCATTTCTCCCTCTACTGGAAATGTAAACAAACTTTTCCAATCAAGGGCGGTGAGGGAAAGGAGTGCCCAGAGTTAATTGGTGATGTCAAAAACAAAGGGGGGAGGTAGGGTTGCATGCCAAGGCTCACAAACTAACATGTCAACACACAGGCTATAACTTACCTCATTTTCAGAAACCCATGGCTACAAAACCCTTGTAGTGGGAACATATACAAAATAATATTAACTTATTCTCATCATTCCACTGGAGCATTTCAAATTATGTGAACAAAGATTAAAAGTATCTTATTAGTGTGCATTTAACCCTTTGAAGCTTCTGGCCATCTCCATGCTCCTGTGTTCCCAAGGAAAGTTAACACTGACCTGCAAGCAAACGAAATTTCATTATGTTAAAATATGAACTTTATTTAACTGAACTTAAATTTGTTTTCAAATGAACCATTTTTATTATAAAAGGTATCACAAGGACAACATTGTCTTAAAATCGTATCATAGCAGAGAAGACAATTTTGATGAAATCTGGGCTAGGAGTAAACCTGGCCCTGGGCTACGAGTAAATCTGGCCCTGCTAGGAGTAAACCTGGCCCTGCTAGGAGTAAACCTGGCCCTTTCTTGATTATAAAAAGCACACGTTCAATCCCCAGCACTAATCCAAGTCAATTATTAGTTGTCACAAGTAATGCCCATCTATTTGCTTTCATTTAATGTTTATTCCAAATTCCATCATAATCTTCGCTCTGGTTTAGTGTTTTAGCACAGCAGTTGCAGAAACATGACTGAAAATATAAAAAAAAAATAACAGCTTCATGGGCATCACCAATACATTAACATCATGACAGTATTCATCTTGCAAAAAGGATAGGGACGTTCAGGTTCTGGATTTAATTTTGATGTCATATTAGATATAATCTGAGAATTTATCATCCAAGAATAAAACATCACCAATAGTATAGAAGCTCAGCTTTGGTCCATGTAGTATTAAAAGTAAACATTATGAAGTTTGGTGTTTTGAAATCCTTATTATTCCAGTTTTAATATAGTTCTCACACATTTATCATCTACTAAAAGCCTTTTATAGCAATGACTTGTTTTCAGTTCTGATAAAGTGGCTGAAATCCTTGAGCCTTGGCACATAAAAATCAGCAATACAATGATGAACTTAGATGGCCGACAGTTGCCTGCAGAAAAGCTCTTAGTGAAAAATCAAACGGTAAGTCATACTAAGAAAGATAAAAACAATTCCCATGGCTACTGTTTTTCTTGTACTGAACTATAAAATCTCATTTTGATGAAAAATTATTTTGTGAAATGTGTCTTTGTAATGTTAACTAATTAATTCTAGGCGCTAGCTATTTCCAGAGTTTTTTATTTTATATATTTTTAGGAGATCATTCCATCAAAACTTAAAACTTAATTTTCATAACTACTGTTTTGGAACGAAAACTCCTATACTGATATCCATTGGCAAATAAATATGTATTTATTGCTGTATTTGTTCATTTATTTGTTCCTGTTTTTTTTTTCCATTTGCTTGAACTTAACAATTTAATTAAAATGACTTTTTCTTTTAATAATCATGCATTTGTATATTTATTTTCTTTTATATAGGGCCTAAATTTTTAGCCTTCAAAAATATTTTTGGATTTTCTGTAAACAAAATTTTAATTAATTGTAAAGCTTAGTACAGCTGAGATTTAAAAAAAAATATTTTTTTAGTAGAACATAAAAATGTAGTAAATTTCCCTTGAAACAAAATCTATCCAGGGAGGCATGACACATATATCATATAATGTCAAAGAAGCTGATTGGAGTCAGGGAATGCGTAATATCTGTCTTTTGAATCCGGTTCATATGGATAAGTGGCTGATCATATATCCAAGACAAAGTGCTACTACCTCAAATGAATTTTCCAACTGCCTTTTTAAAGTTAGCAGACAAATGAAAATGAGGATTGCTGAGCCTGTTGTGTATGTATTTGAATTAATTTTATATAAGATTTATTTTATAAACTTTGCCAATCATAAATTTAGATTTAATTATTTTTGTTGAAAATACCTAACTTCTAATCCAACCAAGCACAAAGAAATCAATAGTTGATTCTTAAGTGCCATGTGTGGTACATCCCACATGTTTTTTATATTGGCAAAACTGTGCAGGCTAAGCCTTTGCAGAAATGAAAATAACTGGTTATGTGTTAAAGTGAGCTAATCAAAAGGATCTAACACCACTTTTGCTATTCTATCGCCAGCATTAGTTTTTTAAAATATTTTTTTCCCCACTTCAATGTAACTAAGGATTCTTTTTTTCCAAATTTGAATGAGTGACTCAGTGTCTTCCCAATACAGAGTTGAGCTTCCTGATGACCGCAATGATGCATACCTACAGGCCATCAAGCATAATCTTTCCAATACGGTTCAGATGGTGGTCTGCATAGTCCCCAATGCCAAAAAGGACAGATACGATGCAATTAAAAAATGCTGCTGCATTGACAATCCTGGTGAGATATTCCTCAGGGGAATTAAGATGTTAAATATGTTATTCATTTTGTGTGCATAGTTCTGGGGTGGAGTTGACTAAGCTATTGCCGCTTTTAAGGGGTGGATTTAAGTGGAATAATTCGGAATAGGTGAAAATCCAGACTGACAGATAGGTGAAATTTTGGTTGAGTTTTTTTGTTTTGATTGGAAGTCACTTATTCTTTTTATGAGAGCAATAAAGCATTTTGATTACTATGAGCATACATCTACCAATCTTCTGAAGACAAAGACTTTTCACGTAGTTCCCAAATCTAACACAGGTCCACAAATCCAATTAGTAAATTGAAAAGCCTGTACAAGAGTAAAAAATATAATTACTATTTTTCAACTTTATGAATAATCCACAAACTCCCTGCTTTTTACTTCATTCTAGATTTCTTTTCAAATACCAATTAAAAAAAGTATGTGTCTGACATTTTAAAATATATATATATAAAATAGGATATTACGATTGAGTATTTCTGCAATAGTTTTTATTAAGCATTATAGAATCTCTGACTTCTGTGAGCTTATAAAACTTTTAAGACTATAGGTATTCACATGAATAGTGTTAATGTTTTTAATGTGGCATGCTTGTGTAACCTTCTGCTTCAGTCCCTAGTCAAGTTGTCCTGGCCAGGACCCTTGACAAGAAGAAAAGCTTGATGAGTGTGGCAACAAAGATTGCCATTCAGATGAATTGTAAAATGGGCGGTGAAGTCTGGGGTGCAGAAATACCTGTGAGTATTAGAATAATTTTCAAAGAAAGTCAAGACCCAAGCGTTCAAACTATAGGCTTGGATAACAGAAAAATACCCAAAACGTGTTAATACATTGACAACATTTTTATTCATCTTTTTACAAAAGTTATTCAACAAATATGTTTTTGTGATATTAAAGGTTGTCACCCACCTTTTTCAACCTTTCTTTCTACTCCCATTTGCATCTTGTTTGTCCAGCGTAATTTTTTGTTGATGCACCTGACCCTCTCGTTATTAGTTATTCAGTCTCCTAATGCTGACTTGTAAACTTGTAAAGTTGCATATGAGTCGATGAGTGCAGCTCTGGCTTGCTGGGTTGAGGGACTGGGTTAGGGGTGGTGAGGGATAGGGAAATAATAAAAGGTGATTTAAAAAAAAGCCAACAACCCGACCCCTTCGCTTGCAATAACCATCTGTCCTAACTGTAGGACTTTGGGATTGGAGGGGAAAGTGTTGGCACAGGGCATTTTGCCAGTTAGACTCTAATTAACGAATGGCCAGTACTTGTTTGCTCTTCACCCAGCATCAAACTAGAAAGAAGTTAAGTCACTATACCAGGGATTTTGTGAGCATCCTTTGGTAAAAAAATTCCTCTTGTGGATACTTAACAGCTTAAAATTTTCATAATAAAGAGTATAAGAAAAATGTTTTGACGACTTTTTAAAAAAAGAATTACTTTCAAGGACAAGTTTAAACTTAAACGCAATAAAAGGTAGAAAAATAATTTTCTTAAAATTAATTAAGCAAAGAAACTCTGTGCAGAAAATATTTTCAAAATTTAGTAGGAAACAAACATATTTATAGATTTCTCTACATTTAATTGGAGTCTTTTGGCTTCATAGAGTGCCTTACAAGAGTAAGGACGAGAGAGTGACGTTGACGTTGCGCAACTCTTCCTCACTTTAAACAAAGTCAGCCGCGCAAGTCATCAGTCATCCAACACCCATCATCCCAAGTCCTGTTGGCAATGGGCAGGCTCTCCTAAATGCATGAGGCAAGGGCTAGAATACATGCCCAAAACATTGCCTGCTCCTTCACATCCTGGCCGGCTAAACACGGTCAGTGGGGACCCAATTTTTGCTGTCGAAAGTCAAAGATAAACTATTTCATTTAAAATTGCCACATCGAACATCCGCACACTGCTTGACAGGAACAATACAAACAGCCCTCAACGACTCACAGCCCTCATGTCCATGAACTTGAAACTTCCCCTCTGCCATGGAAAGAAGGCTGTGACTTTAGTCAGTGCCTATGCACCCACCATGACAAAACACAGAAGAGACCAAAGATAAGTTTTATGAAGACCTGAACACTGTCATCTCCTCCACACCAACTGCTGACAAACTCATCATTCTTGGAGATTTCAATGCACATGTCAGCAGTGACTACACCTCCTGGAGGGGAGTGATAGGGAAGTATGGTATTGGAAAGTGCAAAAGCAACGGCCTACTGCTACTTCAGACCTGTGCTGAACACGGCCTTCTAATAACAAACACCACTTCAGCCTGCCTACGCGCAACAGGACCTCCTGGATGCAACCCCGTTCAAAACACTGGCACCTAATAGATTATGTCATCAGAAAGAGGGACCGGTAGGACGTGAGAGTGACTAAGGCCATGTGCGACGCAGAATGCTGGCCGGATCACCGCCTCATCATCTCAAAGATGAAAATTCACATCCAACCTAAGAGACAACCTCAGGTCACCAAAGCTCCGAAACACCTCAACATCAGTAGGCTGAAGATCTCTGATGTGAGACAAACCTTTGTTGACACCCTGAATGAACACCTTGATACCATCACATTGGACAATCGGGATGCGGAAACAGCGTGGACCACACTTCTTGAGACGGTGTATAACACAGCCGCTGAGCACCTCGGACCCTCTAACAGGAAGGACAGGGATTGGTTTGATGAAAACAACACAGCGATCCAAATGCTACTTGAGCAAAAACATCGGGCGTACAAGGCCCTCCATGATGACCCAATGTCAACAGCAAAGACAGCTACACTGAGGAGCATCCGTAGCAAGGTACAGTTGCAACTGCGCCAGATGCAAGACTCCTGGCTGAGTGCAAAAGCTGATGAGATTCAGGGCTTTGCAGACAAGAAAGACGTGAAAAACCTCTACAGTGCACTAAGAGAAATCTAAGGAATAACTACCTCAGGCTCTTCCCCTCTCCATCACAAACAAGGAGAAAATCATGGAAAGATGGGCGGAACAATTTGATAGTGTGCTCAATGCGTCTTCCATCATTAATGATGAGGCCATTGAAAGACTGCCCCAGGTACCAACGAACAAGTCACTGGAGGCTGTCCCAACTTTGGTTGAGATACAGACAGCAATCCGCCAAATGTCCAATGGCAAAGTACCTGGTTCCAACATGATTCCTGCCAAAATCTACAAAGAGGGTGGACCAGAATTGACGGATAAGCTATTGCTTCCATTCTAGATCATTTGGCAGACGGAAACTGTACCACAGGACCTCAAAGATGCCTCAATTATCCACAGGTACAAACACAAAGGAAACTGCCAGGCCTGCGATAATTACAGCGGAATTTCACTGCTGTCCATCACAGGAAGATCTTGGCCCGAGGCCTTCTGAACCGCTTGAATGCACACCTGGAGTTAGGTCTCCTACCAGAAAGTCAATGCAGTTTCCGCAAAAAACGCGGAACAATCCATATGGTGTTTGCTGCCAGGAAGCTTCAAGAGAAATGTCAGGAGCATAATACAGACCTATATTCAACATTTATGGACCTGAATAAGGCTTTTGACAGGGTCAATAGAGGTGGCCTGTGGAAAATCATGAAGAAGAATGGAAGCCCAGACAAGTTCACCAACATCATCCGTCAGCTGCATGATGGCCCGAGTACAGGACAACGGTCAGTTATCTCAAGCATTCCCCGTCACAAACGGTGCGAAGCAGGGCGGTGTCCTGGCTCCCACACTCATCAGTATTATGTATTCTGCAAAGCTGTCTGATGCGTTCAAGGACTCCACCATGGGCTTGCCGATCCAGTTACGCACCGATGGATCAGTCTTCAACCTTAGGAGGCTTCAAGCTAAAACCAAGGTCAAACATTACACAATCAACGAGCTTCTGTTTGCGGACGATTGTGCCCTCAATGGTGCCTCAGAAGCCGTCATGCAACACAGCGTTGTCTTTCTCTGGGGCCTGCATTACTTTGGCCCCCACAATCAACACAAAGAAGACTGAGGTGATGTATCAGCCAGCTCCCAGTAAGCCCAAGTTGAACCCAACATCATCAGTGGGCAGTGTCTCAACGCGGTGGATAAATTTAATTACTTGGGCAGCATCCTCTCCAGTTCTCTTGTCATGGATTGATGAAATGAATGGCAGACTCGCAAAAGCTATTGCCATTTTTGGCAGGCTCCGCAGCACTGTTTGAGACAGGAGAGGTTTCAGACGAGAAACGAAGATCAAGGTCTATAGAGCAGCAGTCCTCTCGACATTGAACAACGGATGTGAAACGTGGACAGTCTACCAGCGTCAGGCCAAGAAACTGAACCATTTTTACACAACCTGCCTCAGGAAACTCCTCGGCATCAGGTGGAAAGATAAAGTTCCTGACAGAGGTTCTCGCTAGAGCGAACCTACCTAGTATCGTCACCACCCTGTTGCAGTCTCAACTCCGTTGGATGGGACACGTAGCCCGTATGGAAGACCACCAGCTCCCAAAACAGATATTCTTCGGAGAACTCATGATAGGCAAGCGCTCCCAAGGAGATCAAAAAAAGCATTACAAAGACTCACTGAAGGCTGCACTAAAGGCCTTCAACATCAACCCTACTAAATCGGTGTAGATACTGCCAGAACAGAGCCAGGTGGAGAGCAGATGTCAAGAAGGGGGCTAAATCTCATGAAGGCAGTAGGATAACCACAGCTGAGACACGCAGACTAGCATGAAAGAGCAATATTAGATCACCGACTGCAGCAACTATCCCCTGCCTGCAGTACCAGAGATTATTCTGAGCACGGATCGGACCAGCAAGCGACCTACTACAAGGTCATTGTACCCCATCCTCCCCCCCTAATGGGATGACTCGATACTCCTAGTCAATTTTGAAAGATGAACAACATAAGAGTAAGAATTTTAAGAAACTTATTTTCTGAATTTTAGTGCGTTTAAAAATTTGTTTTTTTAATGTCTCATCAAAAAAGGTTTTCATGTATGTATTTTTTATTTATACTTTTATATTTATTTAAACAAGCAAAGGTTATCTACAAATCTTTTTATGAATACATTTTGTCTATTTGGGATGTGTGCCTAACATAAATATTATGAATTGTTTTTTTAATATGTACTAAAAGAATTTTTCATCCACTGTTCCATTCAGGTGCAAGGTTTGATGGTGGTAGGTGTTGACACCTATCATGATTCTTCTCATAGGAACCAGTCAGTAGGAGCTCTGGTGGCCTCCTTAAACAAAGAATGCACCCGCTACTACAGTAAGACAGAATATCATCCGACTAAGGATGAATTAATGAGACATCTTCAACCACTTCTGACAAGTATTATTTTAGTTGTAATTCATGTATAGTTAATGTTCCAATAATGTTTGTTCTGCTTTGCAGCATCTCCCAACAGCTAATCTTTTGGATGCATGTTCCAATAATGTTTGTTCTGCTTTGCAGCATCTCCCAACAGCTAATCTTTTGGATGCATGTTCCAATGCTCCAGCACTTTGGCAGTTTTCTGATTCGTGCTATTCATGACAGAATAAAAGCATCAACTTGATGTCTATGCTTCTTTCCTTATAAAATTTATATTTATAAAACTGCTGATCGTTCATTTATTATCGATCACTCATTCTTTTCCTGAACGAGGTGACTCTTCCAGCAGATCGGGTCTTTGGTAAAAAAAAAATTAAAAACGCTAAAGACATTTAAAAATAGGTAATGCCAAGATACTCCTCATCAAATCTGTCTTACTTGAGGTAACATTCTGACCCAACCTGTCATAGTCTCCTTAAGAGAGGACTAACTGTGACAATTTTTAAACCAAATGTTGTGGAGTAAAAGAGCTGTGTTAAAAATGCTTTCTAAAAAGTGTCCTTCAACTCCTCACTGAGTATGGATGACAGAATTTGTACTTTGTATGAAACACTACTCCAGTATTTCGTTGAAGATGCTGCACACTCAAGCCAAGCAGACACTTCCTTATTTTCTGTATTCATTTTTGTTCTTTCTAAATTTAAATAAAATAATTAGTAGCAGTCTAAACATTGCAGGATTACAGGGGACTTTCCAGCATCTGTTCTGTTAAAATATATCAATAAAACACATTAATAGACCTGTTTACTCTTACGATTTTGGCATAAATATGTATGATTTTGAGGTTTCTTTTACAGTTGTATGCCAAAACCTAAAATTGTATGCCAATTCAGCTGTGAATGGATTGTGTACGGGTGTGCTGGGGAGGGGAGTCTAAATATTTAATTGCATAAAATTAACAGTACGGTACCACAGATGACATTGCAGTGTATAGGACGATCGCCAACAGATCTGACCAGGACCAGCTACAACAGGACCTCAATCTGTTAGCTGAGTAGGAGATGAGCTGGGACATGGCATTTCACCCTGCCAAGTGCCAGACACTATCAGTCTCTTGAAGTTGTTCTCCTTTACACTACCAATACGAACTGCACGGCCATATACTTGAGCATGTTTCCTCTGTAAAGTACCTGGGTGTTACCATTCAAAGAGAGGTCCGCTGGGACGAGCATATTAACAATGTATGTAACCAAGCAAACAAGACCCTGGGGTTCTTAAGGCGAAATCTCAAGATTGGCAACTCCTGTGTGAAAGAAAGAGCATATAAAGCCTTTATCCATCCGATTTTAGATTATGCATCTTCAGTCTGGGACCCATTTACCCAGAAGAGCATTGACAGGTTGGAAGCGGTCCAGCGACGAGCAGCACGCTTTGTCCTAAACCGCTACAGGAATACCTCTAGTGTTGGCAGCATGCTAGAAACACTAGGCTGGTCACCATTGGAAGAACGACGACGACAATCCAGGCTCTCCATGATGTACAAGATAATGGGCTGGTCCACTGTTCCAGTATTAAACAGAAACTGGTCCCTCTCCCCCATAGACAGCGACGAGGCCATGACAGGCAATTCAGGCTCATACCAGCAAGAATCCAGTATAGGAGCAACTCATTCCTGCCCAAGACAATCAGGGACTGGAACAATCTTTCAAAAGGAACGGTTGAGGCGACAACACTAGACACATTTGTGTCTATTGACACATTTGTGTCTATTGACACATTTGTGTCTATTGACACATTTGTGTCTATTGCCTCAAGCCTTCAAACCCCTAGTGCATGATTTCCTCATCTACACCAGTAACAGAAACATTGCAAATCCCATCTACATGCATAGGAGCCAAAATGATCAATAAATTGATCGTGGGCCCTTAAGATATATAAGAAGAAGAAGTTTTTTTTTAAAGATTTCATTTTTAAAAAAATTAATTCTTATTTAAATAAATCTTATTTCATGTTGATCTGACTTTGAGTTTGAATTTATTAATTATAAATACTGTATACTGTTAGGAAACAGATATACATAACAATTGTTGTGATATTCAATTTCATTATTGATTTAGGTGCACTAAAGAAATATCACAGTGTCAATGAAAATCTGCCAAGAAAAATCATTCTCTTCAGAGATGGGGTGGGTGATGGCCAGCTTAAAACCGTATTTAATGCAGAGTTTGAACAGGTTGAATCTGCTTTGAAAGACGCAGGTGGACGAGAGTACAGGTAATATATAAGCATATTTTCGTATGTTCAATTTACAAGCACATGTTAAACAAGTTAACGTGAAGTACTAGTGTGAAGGAAAACAAATGGCATTGTTTGTTGTGCTCCGTGTTGCAAATTCCTCGTCGTATCCATTAGGTGATAGCTACACCTAAGAAAGAGCAGATGTCAAATATTACATACAGGAAGTAATCCTGATGATAAATATGCAGTTTTGGTAGCAAATATTTTGTGTTTTAGTGACATATGGGTAAGTGTTACATCGATTAGTTTTTTAGGGTTCAGCTTCCAAGTGGTGCCATAATGAGCAATTTCATGGCTAAATATTCTTGACCTGCTTTATCTTTTCAGGCCAGGCCTTGCCTTCATTGTTGTGAAGAAACGCATCAACACTCGACTGTTTGCCCCTGATGGAAATCCAAGTCCTGGGACTATTGTGGACCAGAAAATCACCAAACCAAATTGGTAATTAAAATTACAGATCACACTAGGTTCACATATTAGTTATTAACAATTTTTCATACTTTGCTCTATGGGGCTGATAATATTCAGTACATTGCAGATTGGCATATCAAATTGTTGTTCTCCAAACACACAAACGTTTCAGACATTTTTTAAACATTTTACTTGACGGATTCTCATTCTGGCAAACCAAACTGGTCAGACTGCAACTTTCTTTTTCCAACGTTATTGTTTAAGAATGTACAACAAATTCCATTTCAGTTTTTCCTACTTTTTAATACAATTAATCAATGTAATCAAAGAGAAAAAAAGTTCATTCATCTTAAGATGAATTAACTTTTTTTGTCTTTGAATCTTAATAAATTTTTTCCCTCCAGTAATTGAAATAAAGATTTTAAAATAGATTTGTTTTACTTGACAATATTATATCAATAGTATAATAAGTCTGCCCAGTTTCTGTTTTTGGATACAACCAGGGTTTATTCTTAAAAGCTGTCCCTTTGCCTGCTCTTCCCACAAGAAATATGTAAAGTGTAGACAGAAAAAGTCTCCTGAACTAATAGCCCATAAAATTGATTTGATAAGAGAATAATATTACTAAATGTTTACCAAACATGAAGTATAGCTGTCAGACATGGAAAGATAGTTGTTACAGATAATGAATGCATACAATTTTTATAGTCTTTATAAACCAATAATTTTAAACATTAAATACCAGTACCAACATGCAATTTCATTTCATCAGGTGTAATTTAGTAGTAAAAAATTATAGGCAGCAATTTTAACAGACTTACCAATTATTACCTTTTTATCTTAAATGTTTTACCCGTTTCTTTGTCCAGAAGAAGGTTTATGGCCAATAGATTTGTTGTGTATTAGTTCTTTCCTCAAGCTTTCCTATAACGTCGGCTACATTTTTCACTTAAAACAACTTAATGGCAGTGTTTCTATAACGGGTATTATAAACTAAATTATAAACACCAAATGCAACATTTAAAGACGTACAATTTTTATTATTATTTGATTACTTTTAAATGAAAGGCCTTATTATTTTATGATCGTGAGCTGTTGCTCTATAAGTTTTAAAAGTCTTTAGGAGTGCTCTTTTTATTTCAATTAATACGTATCCATTATTTCTTTAAGATTTTAGTGGTTTTTTTTAAACTGAAAGTACAAATTCTGGAACCCATTGAATACAGATCATGTGAAATCTATTTAAGATGACTTGGGAATAAGTGAAGTAACATTGATGTTCACCATGAAAAATAGCAAAGCCCCAACTTATCACAGCAGAACTGATAAAACTAGGTGGAAACGAACTGCATAGGCAAACGCATGACCCCAGAGTATGACAGGAGGAAGAAATGCCAATAGAATGTGGTACTGTGCTCATAATCCCAACTCACCAAAAAATGTATCTAAGCTGGATTGCTCAAATTGTAGAAAAATCTCCCTACTTAATGAACTTACAAAATCCTCACTAAACTTAAGCAAGAAATTTGGAGAGGTACCGGATAGTGAACAGATCCTAGGGGACTTAAAATGTGGATTCCGTCAGAATAGATCAACCACAGATCATATTTGATGTCTCCTGGAAAAATGCTATGAATACATCAAGAAACACAAACTATATGCAGACTACAACACAGGTTATGAAGGTTATGATAGCGTAGAAAGGAAATGCCTTTACAATGCTTTACAGCAGGGGTCTCCAAAATTACGGGCAGCAAGGCCCTCTAATCCGATCTGTGAGACCTTTCTGTCTGCGGAAAAAAATTACGGAAATTTACGTGTATCAAGGCGATCAGTAGTGCGTTATGTTTTCCAACCGATCACTACATTGCAAAACCTTATTCGCTGCTTAGTTTTTCTACTTCCGTTCAGTCTAAGAGATGATATAACGCCATCTAGTGGCAGAGTTTTTAAATGGTTTGCTGCTTGCCAGTTGCGGTTGACTGCTGCGATGAGGAGGTGTTGGTGTTAGTTGGCGTCTGATTGAGAAACATGTTGCTCTCTATTTTATTTAGTGATAATTTCCTTCGCGTAATTACTTATCACTGTGTTTAAAGTATTGCGAATGTCAAAGTTTAGTCAGAAATTTTGGAAAATTCTGAAGAGGAAACATTAAAAGCAACAGCCTCTCTACCATAAGTAGATATATTTGCACACTATATTCAGGTAAGTTTAACTTGAGAAATCATTTTTTTTTAAATTTAATAGTTTTGGGTTATTTTGCAGCTATAATTGTGACAAAATTAGTTGACATAATCAGGTTTTTTGAGTGATTGTGTGTCCAAGATATTTTCAGTTTCACTGTTCATTCATGTTGAATTCCCTTTATTTTAGTTCCCAGTGATGGCCGAGCAGAGGAAAAGGAAAATAGATGATGAGTGTCGGCTATTTCAAGAAGAATGGAGTTTGAAAAACTTCTTCATCAAATCCGGCGAGAAAGCTTTATGAGTGATTTGCAACAACACTGTGGGTGTGATAAAAGAATACAACCTGCACCGTCATCGGCAAAGCAAACAGGAGAAATATTCACAGTTGGAGGGTAAAGTCTGTGTGGAAAAATTTTCTAAATTACAAAATCAACTCACATCTCAGAGGACATTGTTCAGTAAACCCTCAAATGAAAATCAATCCTTAACTAAGGCCAGTTATAAAGTTGTCTACATCCTGGCTAAAAGTGGCAAACCATTTAAAGCAGATGGTGAAGTAGTGAAGGAATGTTTGTATGTGTTGCCTGAGGTACTTTGCCCAGAAAAGTTAAAACAATTTGAAAATGTAGCTTTGGGTGCAAATACCATTGTCCGCAGACATGGGTGAAAACAATGTGACTCAACTAGCAAAAAATGCGAGCAGGTTTCACCATTTTTCAATTGCAATGGATGAATTGCTGTGACAGCTGTTTCACCTCTCAACTGCTTGTCTTCATTAGAGCTGTGGATGAAGACATGAATACAACTCAAGAGCTGGCATGTAGGGACGGCACTGTTACCGGAGATGATGCAATGAGTTGAAAAAAATATTTGCTGATTATAACTTGGACTGGAATAACCTGTTGCCTGACTGTTGATGGAGGAAAGAATATAAGTGGCATAAATAAAGGCTTGGTTGGAAAAGTGAAGCAGATGTGTAATGAGAACAAAATTCTATAACAAATGTTCCTGCACTGTATTAGTATTATTCACCAGCAAGCCTTGTGTGCTAAATATGTGGACATTGTACTGAATACTGTGGTGAAGATGTTGAATTTAATTAGGTCACATGGGCTCAACCATAGACAGTTCAGAGACCTGTTGAAAGATACAGACACAGAATCGCAAGACTTACCATATTACACAGCAGTAATATGGCTAACTTGTGAGAAAGTTCTGAGCAAAGTATTTAAGTTAAGAAAGGAAGTAGGTGACTTCCTGGAAAATGAAGGCAAGCCATTGCTGTCTGATGAAGAGTGGGTATGGAAAATGGCCTTTGCTTCAGACATAACTAATCTGGATTATGGAAGTGTACACATTGTAATGATGAAATCATTTAAATTTTCTGAACCTAAAACTACAATGAGAGGAAAATCTAGTTTCTGATCTATACACCCACCTAAGGGCATTCAGATCCAAACTCGTATTGTTTTGGAACAAGTACAGGGTAACAACTTGACACACTTTCAACAGTGAAAGGTCTTCATGGCTGAAGCAACAGCGAAGTTCCTGTCATTTGCATGTGAGATCATTAAAGACCTTCAGCTGCATTTTCAGCAGCGGTTTTCTGACTTTGACTCAAAGGCAAAAGAAGTGAGACTGTTTCAAAACCCATTTGAAGCAGATGTGGCCAGTTGCACAGATGAACTGTAGCTGGAGGTTATTGAGTTGAAAGCAAAGACCTCCTTAGGGACAAGTTCAAAGGAGGACTGGTGGGTTTTTACCCAAGGAAGACTTTCCTAATGTCAAAATTTCACCATTCCACTAATACAGGTGTTCACGTGTAGTGTATCAATGTGTTACTACATAATAACTGAATAAAATAATATTAAATAAATAATTTTTAAAAAATCCATGTTCGATTCTTTTTTATTTGGACCTCAAGTGTGTAGTCGGCCCCCGAACTGCTGTTTGATAGTTAATGCTATCCTCGGGCTGAAAAGTTTGGAGACCCCTGCTCTACAGGAACTGTGGAATCCCTAGCAAACGTAACCAGCTCATACTCATGAGTTAACTCCAAAAGTAGAATCAAATTACAGGCAGAGTACTTGAGGGAGCTCCCCATTAATCAGGGCCTCAGACAAGGAGATTCACTATCACTTTATACAGGTTGGCCCACGAAAAAGTAGCCCGCGTTACTATAGTATTACTGGCGGCCTTCCGTAAAGAAAGAATGAACTTGAAATGCCAAAATCTTTACTCACTCTTTACTGCTTTGAATTGCATGATGAATATTGTCTTTCAACTGCTGTAAAGTTCTTGGGTTATTAGCGTACACTTTTCCCTTCAAATTGCCCCACAGATAAAAGTAACAAGTTGTTAGGGTCTGGCGATCTCGGTGGTCACAATCCTTTGGTGACAATCTTGTTTTCTGTAAATGCCTCCTGAATTCGTGCCAATGACACGTGTGACAAGTCTCCCCATCCTGTTGGAAGAAGGTGTACTCGCGTTCTTCCAGCGTCAACTGCTGTAAAATTCCTCAAGAATTCTTATGTACACGCCTCAGGTGTGCGAACGGGCGGGACCCGATTCTTTTTGGCGTTTCCAACTGACCCTGTCATACGCCACTTTTTCCACCAACTGCTGTATTGCACACTTTGCTGGGGAGACCAGCGGCAGGAAACTTTGCAGCAAAAATGTCCCGCGTTTCCTTAATGGAACCCGTGAGAACGTACGCCTCCACTATCGCGATTTTGTTGTGGAATGGGATACATGTCGCTCCGCTCGTACTCACGTTCGCACCTCTACTGTTCCTTCAACCCGGCAATACTATGTCTCTTTTGTCGCCGTTTCCCCAGACTAACAGGACCCGGGGGCAGGGAAGCGTGACGTAAGCCGCCAACGCGGCATCCCCCAATAAACTCTGTGGAAGGGATGGGTTGACAAGGTGCTACGGGGAAGGATTCGCTCGGCGCGCCACTCTGGCAGGAAGGCGGCTATTTTTTCGTGGGCCACCCTGTATAACAAACCATTGCAGTACCTGGTATACACGAGTTATATAGTGCTACTGGGAAGAAACAGCAATGATATAAATAAAGCATTCAGGGAACTTGAGGATGCTTCGGTCAAAGCTGATCTGGAGGTAAATGAAGCAAAGACAAAATATATGATGTCAAGACATGCATACTGATGACAACAACCACCACACCTTTGAGAGAGTGACTATTTTCAAATATCTAGGGGTGACTACAATTGAGCACAATAAAATAAAGACGGAGGTGAAAGAAAGGATAACAGCTGGCAACCGTTATTTCAGCCAAAAAAGCTCCTAGGACGAAAAAACCTCGAGGGAAACAGAAGGCAATATGCACTACTATAAGACTGGTTGTAACTTACGCAAGTGAGACTTGGTCCAGAAAAGCAGAGAACCTGCTCAATGCATGGGAGAGGAAAATCCGCAGGAAAATATATGGTGCGGTGATGATAATAATAAAGTTTATTTGAAAATCACGAGATGGATCCACGATGTAAGAGGACTTATGCCAGCTGGGGGTTCACACATGGAGGTGGAAAGCCATGGATAGATCCAATGGAAAGAGGTGGTGGAGCAGGCCAGGGCCCTTCAAAGGCTGTAGTGCCACTGATAATGAAGTAACATTGACTTAGGTGTCAAATAATATAAATATAAGACTTACAAATTGGTACTATATATGTGTATTTTCACATTTTTAATCTGGCATCAAGTTTCCCAATTATATATTTTTAAAAAATTAGTAGGTTGTAAATGAACTGTTTAAGCCAGCCTGCGGGCTTATTAGAATTATGATGTACATGAAATATAAATTTATTCAAAGTGTGGCAAGCAGAAATAATAAGAAATTTTTTAATGCAAAATATAGTGTGGAATCTGTTCTCAAAGTATCCTGTTTTTTAGGTATGACTTCTTCTTGGTGTCTCAGTCAGTGAGGCAGGGAACTGTGAGTCCAACAAGCTACCATGTCATTTATGACACTTCTGGCCTCCAGCCCGATCATATGCAACGTCTAACCTACAAGATGACTCATTTATATTTTAACTGGCAGGTAAAAGTTTTCTTAAAATTCAATATTCCCCACTAAGTCTGCCCTGAGATCGCCAGTAGTCTGCTTTCTTAAAGTTTGCTGTTTGACATTTTAGAAAACTCTTTTACAAACATTTTTTAATCAATGAGCCAACAGTGTATAATTTGAATACACAATTCACAAAAAAAAAACTTGTTATGAAAAGATTAATTTGTTTGTACTTTTCCCATCACAAGTTATTGGCTCTTTGAATAGGTGAATAATGTTAAGACTGATATTCTGGCAAACATTCGGAACTGCTCATTGGGTATTCAAATAATTTTTTTTGACAATTTACTTTCACCATATCTATTCTTAAATGCAGGGTTATTTTATTTTCAATAAAAAGTTTATTTCTTTACAGGAATGATTATTTAGTAGTTAAGCATGCTGTAAAAGTGTAGGAACTAGCCTTTCACGGTCGTTGATGTTATTTTTTTTGTTATTGGAGCTGTGAACTTAGTCGTTACTGGTACAACATTCTTATTGATCAGTTTTAGCCAGCAGGAGAACACGGTCAATAAACAAGTCATATAATGATCAAACTATTCATAGATCCATATGCCAAGGAACTTTCTGGCCTTTCTGTTAAAAATCTATCTTATCTCTAGCTTACAAAAATGTACACAAGGTCTAAAGTCAAGTGTTTAAGCCCTCATCCAGTCATCAGTCAGACATGGCTGATTTCAACTCAGAATAGCAGGACAATAAATACACTTTCTCAAAACCTAACAAAAAATAGAAGTCATGAGATTAACAAATCATCTCATCCCATGTAATCTGACCTTGACATTCTAGCTAGAGAGTCAAGCTTACACTCAGTCCTATTTTAACTCCCCACTTTTATAATCAAACCTTTTTGTAAAAGCGATAATGTGCACGGGGTGGGGGGGGGGGGGGGGGGAGGCTTGTTGTTTAGGGAGATTTGAATATTAAAATTTCTGGATAAAATTAATTGCAATTTGTATTTTTTTAATCTTAGGGTACCATCAGAGTGCCTGCGCCTTGTCAGTATGCCCACAAGTTGGCTTTTCTGCAAGGTCAATCCCTTCACAGAGAATTTTCTGGCTTTTTGGCTGACAAGCTCTTCTACCTATAACTCAAAATGTTAAAAAATACAAGCAACCTTTAAAATAGTTCAGCAATTTATTTTTGAATAATACCTTCATATAAAGTTTTTTCTGACATAAAATAACCATTAAAAAGTGCAACATAATAGTTTGCTTACATTGGAATAATCTTTGTATTACACTACAGCATCTCAACTTAATTTTGACAATTTAAAATCAAACTTTGATGGATTTTAAAATGTGTAATCATCAATATATTGTAATATGCTTATTTCGTGACATGACATAAACAATTTTATAGCATCATGCAAAATTTCAAATTGGTTGATATCTTAAAAGGTTAACATTTATTATGTGAATGAAAATTTGTGAATGAACACACAATAATTTTGTTTATGAAGTAAATAAATTCTCTAATTTTAATGCCTCCCTGAAATACTAGGATATCATTTAGCTTCAACTTTTGACTCTTCTAAATCTAAGCCTTCTTCTGGTTCTTCTAACGACTTAATCATTTGTTTTTGTGCCTTTGATATCCGCTTAGCACCCATTGTAATGAAATAATTGAAAGTAAACAGACCAAAGGAAAGCTGCAAAAATCTTAGACGGTGCCTCCCATACTTCAGATCCATCAATGAAAAGAAGGGTTGCTAAGTCAACACCAATGAGGACAGCTCTTAAACCATTTTTGGGGGGTAAATTCTGATACAAAATTCATATCTCAAGAACTGTTTAACCTAAATTAAAATAATTACCCAAAATTGTGCAGAATTCAATACACTTCAATTTATTAATGGTTACTGCTAAATTGAAAATTGGCTTTTTCAATTTTTCTCGCATCTCCCCCCCCCCCCCCCCTTTAAATGGTTCTTAAAAGACTTTTTATCATTTTCAATGTCCCTCAAAGACTGAGGCAAACTGTTCCACAATTTAGACGCATTTACCATTTTATTTACCATTCAATTTAAACTGCTGTTTGGGGAAACCCATCTTATAAAACTTTAATGAAATGTGGTACCCATATTTTAAACTTTTTTAAATGACATGCTCTCTCAGGTGTACAAGTTGATTTCTCCAAATTGATAAGGGTTAACTGTAAAAACCATTGCTGTTCATGTTATTTTAATTAGTTTGTTGAATGTCAAAACTCATTGAGTCAAGTTTTGTATTTTTCAAATGCCAAGTAATTATCTGATGTACATTACATTTTTTCAGCTTTTATAAAAGCTGTTGTTTCAGTTCTTTTATGTAATGCTGTTTATCAATAAATCAACACTACTTTATTTGTATTTGAAATCTTTTTACTCCATTATGAATGAGGAAAGTAATGTAACTTGAACTGTATATTGACAGCAAAGGTGAAGTTGCCAAGTACATAAAGAATGTCACAACCATGAGAACAAAATCCTGGTTGAATCATATGATTACTGATATGTATCCGTCTATTAAGTCATTATGATTAAGTGTTGAGTGTTTTTTCTTGTACCACTAGTTGGTAAGAGTTTGATTTTATTCAAGCACTCTCAACAAATCATATAAAAAAAATGAAATAAAACCTATTCAATTTACTTTAATTCTGTTTATTATATTTCTGAAATGGGAATCACAAATCTCCATATTTTTTTTAGTAGACAAGTTTAATCATTTTATTGTATTTGTGTTAATGGGATTTAATTTGTATTGCTTTGCTGTTCAAATTAAAGCAGAGCAACTAAAATAAATACTTGTATTTTTATCATTTGTTAAATTTTATTTTAATGCAAACAAGTTTAGGATTTAAAAACAATTATGCTGGTATCTATAATTAAAATTAATTGAATTTATAACTTGAACATAAACTCAAGCAGCAGTTTCCTCTAACTCTAAGATTCCTCTTTTCTCTCTGGGTTTCTTCTAATTATGAGATGAATAGATTAATGCCATTATTTTATTTATCCGTTTATATTTAAAATAATCCACACTAGCCAAAAGGAAATGAAAGACAGAATTTTCAACATCACTTGAAATCAAGAACTTCCATGTTTTGCTGAGTCTCTTACTGTTAGTTTCAAAGTGTTTCATGATGTTAATGATAATGTTGCTTTAACTTTAAATAAAAAATCTATTTTGAAGCAGAAGCAGCATCATTTGACTTCTCTTAAATCTGTACCAATTTGATGATTTACAAGATGATTTACAAAATCATTGATTAGTGGGTGGTCTTTCTCAAAATTGGTGACAGAATTCTGGCAGATAAAAACATATCAGACAATTTTAAGAGTAAAGTCCAGCTTTCTACTTTTTGGGTGACCTCATAACCCATTCCCCTAATTCCAGGCAGGATTTGGTCACTACACTATAGCATGAACATAGCACAGACAAGTTCTATCTGGCATGCTCTAAATTAATGTAGTGTCTTCACAGATTCATTTTCCTCACTACAATAGCAACACTTAACCCCACATTTTCCCAGCTTTATTACCTTAGACCAGTCCAGAGCTCGGCAAAAGTTTTTCACTCACAGCACACCCTAAGCCTTTCCCAGCACATCACAAATAAAAAAAATAAAAAATTTGGCTACTAAATAAGATAATGTACCTAGGTTAACTTGCATTAAGGTGTGTCAATACTAAAAAGTATATTTTAAACTGTAGTGTTCAACAGTAAATGTCCCTATTGGATACATTTCTGTTATCACAGCATTTGACAGCTTGGTAATAGGCTCACCAATGTCACTTTTGTAGCAGCACTGTGTTGTAAGATTAATGTGCTACATTGACATAGCCTTCGTCCTCTTTTGGGAATTTTGCATGGCATACCTGGCATCTCCATGTACACAGGTTGCGGAGCTCCGCTTTAGACCAGTCAGTTATGTTGTTATCATCCTACCGAGTTGATTTGACTCTCTGTGCTAAAAAAGCTCATGGTCATGGATTTCTCTTCCAAATGTTGTTGTTATTTCATATACTTACAGTTCCCAATGAATTCTGTCAGATTATTCTTCCCATTTTGTACCCCGTACTTTTCCTGGGTTTGCAGGCAGTCTCCCCACTATACTGTATCAATAACTATTGATTATTTACATTTTTAAAAATTATCAAACTTAAAACGCCTTATTTTTTACCGGTACCGGGTATTCAAAATGTTAAAATTTCTCATGCTCTGGAAGGCCAGTGGACACCAATGACTTAAAAAGTCAAATGATTTTTATCAATTTACTTGATGTAAATGCTACAACTCTTGTTCATAAATTTTGACTAGATTTTCTGCAGAGGCAGGGTAACCAGTGATGGGGCAGCATTTTTTCTTACTGATGTGATCTGCTATGCATGGGTAACAAAACACATACCTGGGGAAATAGAAACAAAAATAAACCTACTTTGGAAAAAAAATATTAAAAATAAGTTAATTTCAACGTTTTAGGAATAATATTACAAAACCGATTTCAGAAAAGTCACTTTAAATACAGAGATCAACAATGAAATAATATAGCACATAGTGGACGAGAGTCAAGGATCTAAATGGTTTGAAACATCAGTGAACATTATGCATTAGTTCCAACTATGTGACATAAGATTTAGCAAAAGTTACTACTTTGAGGCACAGTAATTAACCTTTAGCGTTACAAAAAAAGACAAATATTGTTTTACCCATAAGCAAAAGTCTGACATTTAAAAATAAATACATGTACCTCTTCCAAATATTTTTTTCTGGTTTGGAATTGCACAGTACCCCGGTATTTATAAATATTTAAAATTCCATTTCAGAGCTTTCACAATTTAATAAAATTGTTATGTATTTCAGATTGGTGCGTACCCTGAGACAGTTAATGCAGTGCTGTTAGTCCTGACACACATACACAGGGGGCATGTAGTGTGATTAACGCCCTTGAGAAATTGAGGCTAAAAATAAATATATTTAATATGTAATAATTATTAGAAGTACCATTATACAATTTAGTCTCCTTAAAATTTTCTAATAAGTGTTGAATAAACTATAAGATTAGAAAGTTAAACCTGTATTGCAAAAGTTGTCTAAACTCTTAACATTAAGAACTGTTAAGAGTGGGCAATAATATCTTTAAAAATTACTTAATTTGGCCTAATCATGTGTCTGCACTAAGTGAAGCTTGAATTACTGCAAAAATGAGGTATCTATGCATATTTGTTTCATCTTCAATCTACATGTAAAACTGAAATCCTTTTAAATACTGTTAACATTGGTATTCTTACGGTACTCATTACTTAACATCTCCAAATATTGTTTTTTTATTTCTAATTTTTAAGATTTTATGGCACACCCGTAAATGTGTGGCATCACATGAGAGATCTCTTTAGGGGGTAACATAAATTTGTCCAGTTTACCTGTGGTGCATGAGGAACTGGCAAGGCTGTAAGAGATTTGGCACTGCTGTCACTGGCATACCACCAGTCTAGGAACTGGAGGAAAAACACACCCACAGAGAGACTTGTAGATAGACAGACAGCCGTTGTGCTGAACACCAACTTGACAAGTGTGTAAAGTTTACCTGAAAAGCTATGAGTAGAAATCCTGGACATTACTCTTACAGCTTATTACTTTATTGAAATATGGCTGGGATTATTGGAAACAAAAATTAATTAATGTACATATTTTGAACATTGAATCCTAAAACATTCAACGTCATCCATAATTTTTTGTAACTTTTTTTTTTCCCTCATCTCCTCTTTTTTTCAAAAACTAAAACAATACCTCTTTCTTTTTTTGCCCAAGGCTATTTCTTTTGTTACCGGTAATTAATTTTTTTTTTACCTGGCAGTTATAATCATAAATATTTTTATAATTTATTTTGTGCCAGTCACAGCTTTAATATTTCCTTTATAAAACATAATCCAGTTCCATTTAAATTTGTATCTTGTCACTATTGGCAGCTTTCTTGCATTCCAACACCTTTGTTGCATGGAAAAATTCCTAATACCTTAAAATGAAAACACATTTAAAAAAAAGAAAGCTGGTACAAAGGAAACTAACCTTAGATGGGCCCACTGGGGATAGGTGAGGCTGCTTGTGGTTGTATCAAACACGTCCTGTGGATCCAGTCTCAGAAGGACTGTACCAGACATATGCATACCAGGACTGTGCCACCGGCCCTTTTTTAACATATAGGACAACATGTAACCCAAATTCAGACATTCCCAGGTGGAATGGATGTATGGGTACAAAAAAAGATAAAACTTGATAAGCCGTTGTTTCAAAGACAATTGTTTCTGCAAGAGGAAAAATACCTTTATTAGGATTTGAAAGCACATTGCTATAAAGTCATGGTCTATATGAGCAATACGTGTATCGTTCTTGAAAAATATGACTAAAAACATTTTTCTTCAAGTTATTAATCATATTTAGAAATACAAATTTTATTGAATTAATTTTGTTGTTATAATTATTTGTAACTTTATGTAGTGTTTAATACAGTTTTTTATACTTTAATCATGAGATAATATTTCTAAAAGAAAATATATAATGTTTTACTCTAAATTTAGGAATTAATGTTAGGGTACTTGTAAAAAAGCCAGTTGTCCTTCTGTTCCAAATCTGTATTTTAAGTCTTCATACAGCAATTCCAGTTTTCGATGAACATATGGAATCAATATCTGAAGTAATTAAAAAATTAACTTGTTATCACAGGATTAGGATTGTATAGTTGGTACAGTGCAATGTTACATACCAATTATTTAAGTCATACGTATAATAATACTACCTATTAGTACTATAAGTTTCTGTATTCATTTGACTACTAAAGAAACACAACTTTGAAGGTATTTGGCTGTAATATTACTAATAGTAGATATAGCCCGCCAAACATTGGTGACAGCAAAGCATGAACTTCCCATCTACTAAAGTTACTTGTCAAAACATGAACTTAAGTAACGCAAATTTAAGAATCCCAATTTTTGCTACACTCCTTCACCCGCCAAACATTGGTGACAGCAAAGCATGAACTTCCCATCTACTAAAGTTACTTGTCAAAACATGAACTTAAGTAACGCAAATTTAAGAATCCCAATTTTTGCTACACTCCTTCACCCGATGATACGTCACTGCACACTTTTTATTTCACGCCCATGAACCATATTAAATATTCTGATGTCTCAACCACTTTTAAACCGAATATTTTTTACCATACTTAAATTGAGACCATTTCATTTTCCGAAAAGAAAATATTTACGCACCGAACGCAGTTGCGTCATTAAAAAAATAATATGTCATTTAGCGTAGTTATCTGGGATTTTATTTTAAGTGCTAGTTAACTCATTAATGAACGATACTTTCTTTTAAACATATAGAATTATTAGTAATATACTCTCAATACCAAATACGCTGAATAGGAAGCAGCCAGCTTGTTAGGAAGCAGCTAGAAATGGAATCAGTCCACCAGTCACACCAGAAGCGTAATATATGTAAGAGATGGCCTTTTTTTTTTTGGAAAATATATTATAACATTCTGTGCCTTTTCTCTTTCACCTCAGCTCATTATGGAAGGCAGAGGGGAGCTTCAGAGAATATTTAGCATTTCCATACTGACCATAGCTTTACATTTTACAGTAATGCAGTGATGCAAATATTGTTCACATAATTTTTTCTTTAAATTTGGCTGACTATACTTTTTTGTCCAAAGAATATATTTAGCAGGTTTCCTTTGACTTACTAAACAAGCCAACGATCTCACTTTGAGTTTTAGTGATAATTTTGTGACTTCTGAGTTTACACTAGGAACTCGCTTCAAGCCATAGAAATTTTCAGCAAAAGATGCACCTGGAATGGAAAAAAAATTAATGTAAATTCCATAAGTTAACATTTGCAATTATATGTAACTAGCCAGTGAGGTTAGGGAAAATGGCATTGAATTCATGCATAAATACTTATTTGACGGAAGAAAGAGAATCGAAAGGAGATTTTAAAAATAAAACTTATGACAGATATGAAATTTCTGTAGTTGGCTGCCATGGAAAGAGTGTGATAACAAAAATGTTCCCCTTTCCTCAAAATACTAAAATATTTTCCTCACTTTTGAGGGTTCAGTTTCATCATTCTCATTTAACAAAAACATATGCCTAGACCTCATAATGACATACCACTTAGTTGAATTTTTGCATTAAATAAATTAAGTATTTTAATTTATGATAAATTATCATTTATAATTTATACATTTTTTAAAGGTATTGCAATTTTAAATCAAATTCCCCCCCAGTTGAAAGAAACAGATGGAGGCATTTTAAAATGTTGATTTTGAAAGATTCACATGAAATATTTGTTACTAATTACTAATTAGAACAGTTGGAGCAATGGTTACCATATTTTCTTAGATAATGGGCCTGAACAAGACTGTCAAGTACAATAAAAATTTCATCATAATACTGAAAGACTTTCCCTAGCTGCTGAGGATATTTCTCTGCAAACACCTGTTAAAAAATATTTTCTTAAAAGTGAAATGTAAACATGATAATGTTGGACTTGAGTATACAAATTAGTTAAATAAGTTTTTAAGTTAAATTCTCTACTCATTTATTTAAAAATAAAATTTTGCTCTTTGCCAGTGGTACCCAAGCGGTGATCTGCATAGACTTATCAGGCGTTCTGCGTCCGCTCCAGTCCAGGAAATGAACACAATTAACTTGTAAAACATAGGGTAGGTCTAAGGGGTCCCCATAGAAATTCTCCCTATTTTTTATAAGGCGGGGGTGGGGTGGTGTATAAGTCATTTTATAAATTTACTTACACATGAGACTCTTAATCTAGCATATGAAGTTTTTTTTAATGCCAGATAAATGTTAAATCATAAATATCAATCATTTTTTTTTTTCCAGACTCCGATTATCATTTCATATTTTATTGCATGGTTGGCTTTTCTTTTTGGTAAGAGACATGAAGCAGAACTTGTCCTATAGTATTTACCAGCTTAGCATTGAACTGTTTTCATTAGTCTTCATGTTGGGGCTGCTTTAAGAGTAAGAGACATGAAGCAGAACTTGTCCTATAGTATTTACCTGCTTAGCATTGAACTGTTTTCATTAGTCTTCATGTTGGGGCTGCTTTAAGAGTAAGAGACATGAAGCAGAACTTGTCCTATAGTATTTACCTGCTTAGCATTGAACTGTTTTCATTAGTCTTCATGTTGGGGCTGCTTTAAGAGTAAGAGACATGAAGCAGAACTTGTCCTATAGTATTTACCTGCTTAGCATTGAACTGTTTTCATTAGTCTTCATGTTGGGGCTGCTTTAAGAGTAAGAGACATGAAGCAGAACTTGTCCTATAGTATTTACCTGCTTAGCATTGAATTGTTTTCATTAGTCTTCATGTTGGGGCTGTTTTAAGAGTAAGAGATATGAAGCAGAACTTGTCCTATAGTATTTACCTGCTTAGCATTGAACTGTTTTCATTAGTCTTCATGTTGGGGCTGCTTTAAGAGTAAGAGACATGAAGCAGAACTTGTCCTATAGTATTTACCTGCTTAGCATTGAATTGTTTTCATTAGTCTTCATGTTGGGGCTGTTTTAAGAGTAAGAGATATGAAGCAGAACTTGTCCTATAGTATTTACCTGCTTAGCATTGAACTGTTTTCATTAGTCTTCATGTTGGGGCTGCTTTAAGAGTAAGAGACATGAAGCAGAACTTGTCCTATAGTATTTACCTGCTTAGCATTGAACTGTTTTCATTAGTCTTCATGTTGGGGCTGTTTTAAGAGTAAGAGACATGAAGCAGAACTTGTCCTATAGTATTTACCTGCTTAGCATTGAACTGTTTTCATTAGTCTTCATGTTGGGGCTGTTTTAAGAGTAAGAGACATGAAGCAGAACTTGTCCTATAGTATTTACCTGCTTAGCATTGAACTGTTTTCATTAGTCTTCATGTTGGGGCTGTTTTAAGAGTAAGAGATATGAAGCAGAACAGTTTTGTTTTTATTTACCATTTGTGTCAAATTTAAATGACATAATAACTCAAAAAAAAAGGTTCATAGTAAAATCTATCTGTATTCTCTTGTATTGCATTGCAATGTCTTACCCTGACAGCATGTTGAAAAGCAGGTTTAATTGTTGACATTAAGCTCTGCTGGGCGAGCACTTCAAACACACTTGGTCTTTGAGCATCACCTGGCCCAAGGGATGTTAAGTGTGCACCATGTTCCGCCATTTGTACTTAATCTTACTAGCTATATTGTTCACAAGGATCACCATGTATCACTAAATGATTTACAACACATTATAGTTATAGTATATATTTTAGTGATGAATAGCTAATAACATGATGGTTTTTATTATTTATAGTTGATAAGAGGATACTGATAGAAGGTAGTAGTAGTAGTAGTCTTAAGGACATGCGGATAGACCTAAAACAAATAGGGCTAAGACTAAGACGTAATGAATGTAAAATAGTAAATAGGCTTATTACTTTTTAGTTAGGCCAAGGCTTAGCCAATACCTAGGCTTATTAATTAAATGAAAATGGCTAGGCCTAATTAAAGTAGCCTAATTAAAATTGTTAAACCAATGCCAATAATGCAAATTTTTTATAAATAAATTTATGATCATAGTACTCAAACGGATGTATCATGCTGGACCTAAAAGTAATATTTACTTGACAATGTGTAGTATCAGACTCTACAAAGCAGTTTGTCGTTTAAAATTAAGTATTATTAAGTATTAACTTTCATAGCACATATGTTACAGTTACACGGGCAAAGTGTGAAATCCAGGCATTTTATAAAATGCCTAATAAAAGTTTATAATAAATTGTGTATTTCACACTCTGATTAGAATCATCAGGCATTCTATAGAATGACTAGGCATGCCATGACTTAGGCAAAGTATATAATAACACACAAAGGGATTAGACTAATACTAATAAGCAAATAAACTGCATAAAATAAACTACAAAATGCCTTCTTAAAAAAATATTAATTTTTTTGTTTGTTTTTTGCAGCAGTCTGGACTTGAATGAAATTTTGAATTACACGGTACATTGTACTTCTTTTTACATTTTTTCTTACACAAAAACATTTTCTATTTTGACATTTGGTGTTACACATGCAATTAACAAATAGCTTGTCCAGTTCCAGTGGACTGTTGTGTTGCAGCCGATCTGAGATTTTTTTGTCCATTGGAATGTCTTTTAAGGTCAATAAAGGCTTCTTACACACAATGTCAAACATAATAGTAAATGTCTGTTTCTGAGAATGCCTGAATCAAAATTGTTAAATGACACAAATGGCACTCACAAGTTTAATGAGCCTTCTCCGACAGGCACCATGTCTCATGGAGACTCTGGCAATGCTTTGGCTGTAATCAAAGACATTCCGATGCACAAATAAATCTCATTGATTTCAGCTGCAACACTATAGTCCACTGTGTTAAATGCATGTATAACACCGAGAATCAAAATAGAAAATATAAACAACACTGATTCTGACTGCTGCAAATAAAGTAAAAAAATAGAGACTTCTGATAGACACTTAAAGTGTAACTAATTTTTTTGCCCCTGCTGTTTTCTTTTTTTTCTTCATAAAAACTCAGAATGGCGGTCCCAAATGTAAAATAAATTACTTTTATTTAGAAAGTGCCTGATTACCAGCCTCATAGCTGCCGACTATTGGTGACGTAATTGTTCATTTCAAATTTTGTGTGCACACTAATTATTATTTTTTTTATTGATATAAAATAAACAATACCATGGCCGGCAGACCTCAAGTGCCAGTTTTTGTTTCAAATAATGCTTTGCCTGGGAACATTCTGCAAACTTACGACACAAAGGCACTGTATGTCAGCATGCTTTGGTTAGTGCGGCTTACTGAATACCATCAAGTCTAATAGTCACTAATACTAATACTAAGCCTCAATTCAACAACAGATAAGTTTTGTTTCTCTCTTGTATTTTTCTTTCTTTTTCTAAAACTTTCTTCTTTTTCTTTCAGGAGATAATGATGAAGAATGAAGAGTCTGATGAACATTGCAATCTTTAAAAATGCATAAATTTAGATAGGGGACAAGATATTAGAAGTAAACAATATGTCACCAATTATTGGTGAAAATTAGACTGGTAATTTGATACTTTCTAACAAAAAGTATTTTAGTCATATTCCGCAATCTGCGCCATGACGTGCGTGTGTGAGATTCTCTCCCTTTTCTGTATTCTTTGTGTTGTTACTTTAACTTTAGTACCAGTCATGCCCCACCCCCCCCCCTTTTCCTAGCCCCTACATCTGAGTAAATTAAAACTACATTAAAACATTACTAAAAAAATTTTGATAGAAAGTTAATCGAAGTGACTGTGACTTTAAATTACTTTATTTCATATAAAGTGTGTAAAACTAAAAGTAAGAGTGTACCGGTATTCTAATTATATGAAATTGTAAGTTGGGTTTTCATAATTTTAAAATTATTTTGTATTTTTTACATCATTTTTACAGTAACATGAATTACAAAATTATTTTGAATTTTGACTGAAACACATTCAAATACATGGTGTTGGTGAATTTAACAAAAAGGGCTGAATAAGTAAGGACTGCGATTAGTAAATAACGATGGTTATATCTTTTACCGAGATCCAACATCCGGCTGAGACAATTCCGAGATCTTTTCAATATAAGTAGCTTCGTTATTGTGAATCTGAACTTACGCCTTAGAAACTTAATAACTGCGTCATTTATTTTTAGTAAATAGTAAATACATTATATATAATATTTATTGTAGATAATAAAACTTTGAGGTGCTTTAAATTTTAAAAAAAAACCGTGAAAATTAAATCATCTTTACTGGAGGTGGAGAGATGGAATTGGAAAAATAAATTGAACAAACTTTTAACTTAATAGAATAATATATGTATGATGAGGGACTGCGTAAAGAATTTAATCCTCCATACTCATACCTATAATAAAATAGTGTAACTTAAGTTTCAATGTAATTTAATTATTGTATTTGGATTAACGTATAAATGCTGAGCGAATGCCATCTAAAAATACCACCAAAAATAATAATAATAAATAATAATATTTGAATATATTTGGCTTTTGGGTAAAATTACATTTAAACTTTTTTTAAATATGTTACTACCATGAGTATGAGTATACAAGCTTAGTGTTTGAACAACATTAAACAAAAATACAATCTTTGAACATAATTGTATTTTAGTTATAATTGTTGAATGGGGGTTGTTTTCTTTTAATTATATTTTTTTAAAAATTATATTTTTTTAAAAGACGCAACAGTAATTAACATTTTAAATATGACCCCATAAGCACAAACTAAAGAAATTATTTAATTCAATAAGCCTAATGATAGTTACAATATGGCATACACGCAAAACTGTCGAAATATCAAATTATTATTAAAATATTCAGCGTAGGCATAGAATATAGACATAGAAAGAATTTCACTAACTATCGTTTAGGACATTACTAAATTTGTATTCAAATTACTAAGTCATTGATCATTTGGGTTTCTTCATCTTTTCATTTTCTTAATTTAGTTTATTGCGTCCTTTTGTTTGGTACATTTATTTTTATGATTATGTGAGTTGTTTTTATTTAACATTGGAAAGAAAGAAAGAAAGGGGGGGGGGGGGGGAGCCGATTGGCAGGGAAACTTCTAATTATTTACATTTTCTTTTTTTTCTTTTAACAAAAGAGAAACCCCCACGAAAACCAAGGATTTGTCTGAAATTACACTGTAGCTTATTTACCAATAGTCTTATGGACGATTTATTTATGAATATAGCATAAAGAAATTTAAGTTAAGGTCTACTAATGCGTAAAAATGCCATTGAATTTATCTTTAAAGACCCCATAAATTATAAAATTTCCCATCCTACTTGGTATCGGTACTGTAGGCACTTGAATACAAAATTTAAAAAAAATTGAAATAATTTTTTTAAATAACACATTTAGCTAGAGCAAATTTCAAATAAAAAAATGAAACCAGAATCAACTTTTTAGCTTAAGTACTTTTTGAGCTATGAATTTTTAAAGTGCGAGTTCGTTTGATATTTTAATTTTACTATGGACGAAACCTCCACATCTTGTGACCTCATTCCGCTGATCGCGTCTTGCGCAATGACTATATACTTTATATAAGGCAACGCATCGAATTATCACTAAAATACTGTTTAGGGTCGACTTAGTTTAAACTTTCAACTTTGGCACATGAATAATTAATTAAAGCTTTCCCTGACCAATGGTAGTTTTTGCACATGGCAAACTCTTATGAATGAAACTCTGAGGTAGTACTAGGATACAGCCATTATGCAAGTGGCTGAGACACATCGGAAAATTAAAAACTCTGATTTTTCTGCGCCGATTTCTATTTCCGATACACAAAAAGTAGTAGTCTCCCTTGTTTCATCGAAGTATCTACAGTACTGGCAGTGGTCCTGGCCACCAAGTTACTTGACTTATACATCTAAATTATAATCCTTTTAAACTTATAAGTTACTGGTAAAGTAAGTATGTTTAGTAAGGGTAATCCCGCAATTACTGGTTCTTGCCAAGTTAGTTATACTAGTGAAATAAGTATGTTTAGTAAGGGGTAATCATGTATTGTAGTGCAATCAATTAAAAACTCACTGCCAATATCAATAATAAATAAAATGAAGTGTCTACATGTCCAGCGACTGGACAAGTTATCAAGATATTCTTTATTTCTTTGTAAATTTGTGTGGCAACTTGATAAATTATCATAAATAAGTATAAGTTCTCGAGATATTCGTCCTTCGACCTTTATTTAATAGTATTAATATTAGTGTTGAAGTTAAAATAACTATCCTACTATTGTTTGAAATTTTTTTCTTTCAAAATGTATGTTAGAATATATTACAAAGCTCTTAAACTATTTATAATATGTATGGTTTTTTTATATTCAACTACATGATAGGTCATTTATTGATTGTAAACATACTTTTATAGTATTAGTATTATTTTTTAACTTCACTTATTATTAAAAGTGTTGTAAGCTTACTATTAACTTCAATTTAATTTCGTGTTTTCACATATATAATGAACAAATGTTTAAATAGTGACAATGCTAAATAAAACATGACATATCCGCCGGATGTCTATCTTCCACACTTTTTGTCCGGTTTCCGGACATGTAGACACTGCCTTGAGTCAAAATGGCCCCGGACACGCAGTGCAGCCATTCTCACCCGGGTCCCATTAGACCAATGCTATTCAGAAGTCATTTGTAGTAGTTTATTTTAGTTAAACTGAAGAAGTAAGTTTACAAATATATAGTCCATTTAATTATCTTTCTAGTATTATATATTGCTTAAAAAATGGCACAGGTCTACACTTTACTTAGTACCATTAAATTAAAGTTGGCTGGTCTACTTGACTTAGTCTTAATAGCAATACCAGGAATCTCAGGAATGTAGTGAATTTAGAATTCTGATTGAAGTGTCAGTCTCCTAAGTTTAAGACAAGTTGGAGTTTTGTAACTGATTAGTAACTTATTATTAAGTACCCTATTTATTGGCGTATAACACGCCCCCGTGTATAACACGCACCTCAATTTAAGAAGGAACTTTCAGGAAAAAAAACTAAAATTATATCGGCGTAAAACACGCACACATGATTTGCCCCCTATTTTCGGGGAGAAAAAGTGCGTGTTATACGCCAAGAAATACAGTAATTATTACACTTACTGAAATGCACCATTTCAATTTGTTATGGAACTTATTCAGTTTATTTTTTTAAGGGGGTATTGAGAGATATATGAAACAGAAATGTTTTTTTTTTCTGTTTTAAAATGTTTCTATGGTTTGTAAAATCTAGTGGCGCATGCCATGGTCAAGGCTGAAGATTTAGCTAAAGCATCCATTGGTCCTAGACACTAGAGCCAGGGTGAAGATCCAGATGAGTACCACTGCTCCCAAACACCAGAGACAGTTAACTACTTGTTGACCAAGTGCCCTGGGCTGGGATTATGAAATTTAAAACAAGGGAGGTGAGACCCGTATTACAGAGATTATTCATTGTACAAGCCAGCAGACAAGGCTCATCATTGACTTTACTATCCAAGATCATGACAAGCAATGAATGTGTATAAGTACTTGGAATACATTAAACCAAGTATGACAATGATACATGTCTCATTGGATCAACTCATTGGTATAAAATTTAAAATTTAATTTGCCTATATTTGTAATACTTCAGGTTTAAATTTGAAACAAAAAAAATCTATATTTTTATTTTTTGATATGCTATTTTTGAAAGCTGTAACATTTTGTGTAACGAAGCATCTTTGCAGTGTTCCATCTTTTGAGCCAAGCTGAAGAAGCTCTAAAATGATGTCTCTTATTTACTGTTCATATATGAGACTGTGCATCGCACTTACACTATCTCACACAAAACACTCTCGTTTTGTCAGGGGGGGGCGACCAGATGGCTTTCAAGTGTTTTCAGTTTGCAGGGTGAAGAGTTCAAAAAAACTAATGACTGGATCGGTCCGTTCACCACCTCCCAGTTCTTTGCACAATTAATAAGCATGCATTCTAAATTTCTGAACATTTTCTATATTTCAGTTTTCATTCAATCAGAGGCTCGGAAATAAACTCTCTAAGCCCACTTGATTGAGGAGATCCCTTGGTTGACATTGTGTGTAAAGAATGTCAGGACAACCGAATCCTAATTCCACAAACTCACAGCCATCTTCTCCAACACCAGGCCAAGCTAATAATAATCAATCATTCAGGTGGAGTCTACAAAACTTTCCTGTTCCAGTGCAGCTTCAAGTAAGAAGAATCATCAATAGTTATTTTTTTTTTTGTGGGGTTAAAATCTTAGTACGATGTTAACCCTTACCAGCTTTCTCCCCCTGCTGTTATAAAATCAAATAATCACTCTGAAAGCCAATATTGCCAATAAGTTAAGGAACTGAGATGTTTGTGCTAGAGAAATCTTATAAGAATCTTAAATTAGTTTTTTTTTTTTATCTTATCAATATGCTTAAAATAAATATGTTAAATGTAATCATTACAAATTTCCATTTATTTGTACAATAAAAGAAAATAATATCTTTTCTCATAAATCTTGTTATAAGTTAATGTCCCTGGCTGTCCATATATTCTGTGCCCTGCACTTTTTTATTGAATCTTTCTATGCCAATATTTCTCCCCCCCCCCCCCCCCCCCCCATTAAACTCATAACAGTTCCCTACAATGAGTTAATTGCCAGTGTCATCACAACTGTTGCTTCAGTTGCTGTAAAATTTATTTTTTAAAAACTTACCCCATTCTACTGTTCTCAAAATGCATTTCTGTAAATAATTTTCATTATTCTTTCATATAATATGCTTGATGTTTTTAATGCGGATTGCTGTAAGCTTTCCCACCTATTTATTCTAATCACCAGACAAGTAACATCTGGTATTGAAACTGGCTGGCTATAAAAAATCAATAACTGGTCAGGTCTCTCTCTTTTGCCCCCGCTCTCTCTCATCATCCCTAACACTTCATGTTTTAAGAAATTCTTTTTTTCCATAAAATAAACTGCTACATTCTTGTATAAACAAGCTGCCACTTTGAGAGGGTATATTTAAGAAATGTAAAACAAGTTTTGTTCTTAGCTACATATTAATACTTGATGCCATTTTTTTTTCCTTCGAAGTATATATGATTTTTAAGGAATTTTAAGTCTTTGAAAGCTATATTTGGATAGGTGCAGATATTTAGATGGCTTAATTAGATGGTTTAACAGTATATTATTAATTATCAATTAACTGTATCTATCTAACAGCTTTTATATATATATATATATATATATATATATATATATATATCATTAAGGGAATTTCCTTAAAGCTGTCATCCTTAGAAAATTCCCACATTATGGGAATTTTGTAAGAAATATTTTCTTAGCTTTTACGTACACAATTTGTATGGGTTTTCTTTTATTATTAAGCCAGAATCAGCATAAGGCATAAGTTAGCTATTCATATGTTCATCTCTGAAACCATGGTTTATAAGGAGTAATTTCCTTTTGTTTTATTATACTAGAATTTATTGAAAGGTAAGCAATTATAAATAGATCTGTGTTAGTAACAAATAGGTAAAGATAACATGTTGCTTAAAATCTCTTGTCAAAGCAGGTTTTTCAGATTTCAAAGAGGAAAAAGTATCAAAATACTTTATGAGATAATGTGACATTAGAGATTTATTATTATTATAATAATAATAATAATAATAGGTTTATAGGGTTTATGGGGAAGCCATAAATCTTAGATAATTATGAATGAAACTTAATAGGCGTAGAGCTGGGTTGCATTGATGTACATTTACACCTTATTGCTCTTAAGTCAGATCAAGTCTCCGGACCTGTGGGACTGGGTGTATGACAAACCTTACCATTGGATATCATCTCTTTTCTAGTTGCGTTTAGAAAATGACTTAGCTGGTGGGATAGTGATAGCTGAACCCATCGTTACTCATGTACCTTGTTCAACTGAATCTCAAGATGAAGATCCAGAGTTCTATCTAGTATCTGTTACCTGGGCAATGAGTTAAAAAATCTCAGAAAAGAGATTTCAACAAAAGTTCATGAAATCAATCCTGAGATAGATCTGAGAACAACATTCCTTCCAAGTCTCAATGAAGAGTCCAATAATCACATGACACCAACTTGGATGCAGCTTAGCAAAGAGCAGAAGAGTGAGCCAGAACTTGTTCCTGTATGCTGGCAATTATCTACAAGATGACGTACTTACGAGAAAATGGTGACCTCCAGATGCAGCAGCTGTTGACAAATGAAGGATAGTTCATCCATTAGTAGTTCCAACCCTTTTCCGGAACGACATTACGAACTTAACCCATGACTCACCACTTTCAGGGCATTTTGGGTAAACAAGACTCATCACAAAACAATGTTGCTCTTCTTTTGGCTCAAAATAAAGAAAGGTGTGGTTGATTACTGCAGATTGAATTGGTTGGGGCGTGTGACACATTGATCTTTAATGTTCATTTGCTGCTGAGTAGAAATCACTATTTCACGGGAGTGTAGGACTACATGCATATAATTATAGAGAGTAAGGAACTACTTGAGCAGCCATATTGTAAAGGATGAAAAAGGAGTTAAGAAAATGTTGTATACATTGTATGAGTAACTTGACATGTTATTTTCTAAAGATAAATTGGCTTCTTAAGAACTATGTTTAATCATCATTCCAATATGATGTAATATGTGAATTTTATTATCCTGTGAAGCGCATATGTCAATATCAATAGCTTTGGTATCTTTTTTTCTTTATATGTTGGTTTTCAGTCTTTTGGTACGTATTTTTTCATCTAATAAGCCTGATTTTAAAACTGCAGATTTAATTTTGTTAAACCTTGTAATGGTACCGGTAGGTAACAGTGACCGCCATCCTCAATTCATTATACGTCTTCCATTTGCTTTTGATCATGCAACACCTCTATTACTCAGTGACTAGAGCATCATTAGCATTGACTCTGTGGTTAACTGGTACAAAACATGTTATAATATGAATTTGTATAAAAAAAATACTTAAGATTCATTTTAAACTTTAAAAAATAGTAATCATAATTTACCCCTGCCTCTCCTACCCAAAAATTTTAGAAAACAGAATGTTAGAAAATTTAAAATCAATCTCTCTCTCCCGCCCACATTTCCCCCCAAAGTTTTCTTTGGATTAACTCAATATTAATGAATGTATGATAAAATATTTAACTCTTGTCTAATAAATTTTACTTTCAAGGTTAAATTGAAAAAAATTGCATCCTATATTTCAGCCTCGAATCCCTAGATCTGCTTTATCAGTAGCCCAGGAGTTGTTGCCTAACTTTCCTTCTCACCTGGCGCATCAACAAAATTTTGAAGAAGGGCGCCCTCAACAGTACCAACTCTCCTTTCAACAGCAGATTCAACAGCAACTCCAGCAACAGTTCCAGCGACAACTGCAGTTGAATCTGGAAGGAAGGGGTGAGTCGTCACGAGCCCCGGAAATGCCGGATCCCCCGGATACGATCCTGGATCTGGACTTGCGGGGTGGAGGTCTCGAGGCAGACGGCAACTTTGTGTCCTCTCAAATGAACAGTGGCACGGGAAATCAAGCAGGAATCAGGAGCTTCAGCTCTCCTCTTCTGGAGGCTCTTTTGAGAAATGCCAATGTGGCATCAATTCAGCAAAGAGGTAACTCCAACAACAACTCGGCTCCTGGCGGGTTGATATCACGTTCTGCTGCCAACAACGGACAGCCACACAGCCACGGGCATAATCACCACCAACACCATGCACACTCTCATAACTTTCAAGGTGGAGATGAAACCGACAACGGCTTACCAACTGCCGTGAACAGTAATGCCGGGAGCAACATCATTAATTTCGGAGTGAATGGTGGGCAGGCAGGTAACGGGGCCGGGGTCCCCAACCCTGGGCTCCAGCAAGCCGCTGAACTGACATTACTGTACAAATGGGGGGCGGAGTCTGGCATATTTATTCTGCTTTTGTTTCTACACTTCCTGTACGACCATAGACTGGGTGAGTTATGTTAAACAACATGTTGCAGTTGAAGTTATAACTTAGACTGTCCTACATGGAAAAAATGCTTAAGACAAGTTGTTGTATGGTATGGGGGATTTTAACAGTCAGGAAAATAATTTTTTAAAATATGCATGTGCTGGTTAATTTGCAATGCCAGAAAAGATGAATTTATTTGATTTCCAACCAAACCAAATAATCAATGGAAAGTTTTTATGTCTTTTTAAGATATGTTTAAGCTCTGGTATTCTTAGCTTGGGATCTGTTGACTCCTAAGGGAAGGGGGCCTCGGGAGGAGGTCCTGGGGAGGGGGTCCTGGGGGGTTGGAGTCCTGAGGGAAGGGGGGCCTGGGGAGGGGTCCTGGGGGTGGGAGTCCTGAGGGAAGGGGGGCCTGGGAAGGGGTCCTAGGGGGTGGGAGTCCTGAGGGAAGTGGGCCTGGGGAGGAGATCCTGTGGGTAGGGGGTTCTATCAGTATATTTGACATGGTCGCATATCAGTTTTTCTAAAGTTAAGTCTGTTTCTATATAAATTTAACTTCAATTTAATACATCACTGTCAAAGATTTCATCGGACCAAACAAATATCGCGAATTGTTTAGTAATTGTATTTACATATATATTAATCAAAACAAAATTAATATAAGATTACGATGCAGCTAAAGTTTGAAAGTGCTATAACTTCAAATTATGTTATTACTTGTTATATCACCCAATCGTTTTTTTAAATTTAAATTTATGTCTTTTTTTTTTTTTAATCTTCAAAATGCAGGCCTTTTAGTTTTTTTATGTTTGGGTGGAACATTTTATTACACAAATATGAAGTTGGTGCACGCCATTCATAAATCTGCTGTCAGGGTAAGTGTTGATTCAGAATGGAAAAGTACAGGCAGATATACACCCTGAATTTCAACTTTGATTTAATTAAATGTTAAACTTAAACTTAGAAAATTTTATAGATTTTCTTTTTTTTTTTTTAAACAGAGAAAGTTTCACTCCATTATTAGTTTATGTTTTATACTTAGTAAACACTTTCAACCCATTATTAGTATATATTATATAGTCAACTAATTTAGACTTTCAACCCATTTTTAGCATAAATATAATATAGATTACTAATTTAGACTTTCACCCCATTTTAGTATATATATTATATAGCCACTAATTTAGACTTTCACCCCATTTTTAGTATAGGCCTATATATGATATAGCCTACTAAGTTAGACTTTCACCCCATTTTTAGTATATATATGATATAGCCTACTAATTTAGACTTTCACCCTACTTTTAATATATATATGATATAGCCTACTAATTTAGACTTTCACTCCATTTTTAGTATATACATGATATAGCCTACTAATTTAGACTTACACCCCGTAATTTAGTTAATGTTGTAAGCTCAATGTACACTTTGACCCCATCATTTCCTCCCAGGAGCAAAACAGGTCTTGGCTTGGCCTCCTCAACTTGTTATGGCTATGTGGCTTTCTAATGGTGAACATTGCCATACTCTTTTATGTCTTTAGTGATCAGCGGTTGTGGAAACTGTGAGTAGCACTTCTTGCTTAATTTTAAAAAAAATCTTTTATTTATTTTTTTTTTAAAAATTAAAATTAACAGTAGCAGATAACAATAGCAACAGAGTCAATTTGTTTTGTAAGGTGAATTGAAGTTATATTTGTTTTGTAAGTTGAATTGAAGTTATTTTGTTTTGTAAAGTGAATTGAAGTTATATTTGTTTTGTAATGTGAATTGAAGTTATATTTGTTTTGTAAGTTGAATTGAAGTTATTTTGTTTTGTAAAGTGAATTGAAGTTATATTTGTTTTGTAATGTGAATTGAAGTTGTATTTGTTTTGTAAGTTGAATTGAAGTTATTTTGTTTTGTAAAGTGAATTGAAGTTATATTTGTTTTGTAATGTGAATTGAAGTTATATTTGTTTTGTAAGTTGAATTGAAGTTATTTTGTTTTGTAAAGTGAATTGAAGTTTTATTTGTTTTGTAATGTGAATTGAAGTTATATTTGTTTTGTAAGGTGAATTGGTGGTATATTTGTTAATTCGCGCCCCTCCCCCCACCCCCACCACTTTTTTTTTTCCAGCCTGTTCTTCCAGATGGCTGTGGTGCCAGACATCTCTGTGTGGACACTCTTGTGGTGTGTGGTTATGACAGACTACATCATCAAGTTTCTCACAATCATCGTAAAGTCCATACTAGCCATTTTCCAGCCCTGCAGTAAAAATTACAGACAGAGGGTAAGAGACTGCAAAAAAGAAAAATAAATAATGGTTAAGTTTAAGGGTTACAGGATGCAAAAAGATATCTCAACACAAAGTCTCCTAAAACTTTTATTACATTCAGTGATGTGGGTTAACTTTTTTTTTTTTATAAATGGGATTCCTTACAGTTTCATCGGTCTTAAATATTTTTATCAAATTGTTCACGCATTTACTTCCAAGAACATTTCTTACTTTCACCATACATTTGAATAATTGAACTATTACAAATTTGAAATGTAACGGAAACTTCGCATGGTCTGTTAGTCGACTTAGGAAAAGGGGAAAAAAATTGTGTTTGTTTGGAAATAATTATTCTTGAGGGTTAGGCTTACATGTGAGCAGCTCTGAATGAAAAAGGGGGGGGGGGGAGAAAGAAAGAGATGGGGGAACAGGACTGTCCCTTGTGCAAACTTCAGAGGTCGCCAAAATAGTCATTTTCCTTGCAAATTATGTGCATTAATTTATGCATTTTTGGGGCGAAGAGCACGTCTCAATTCAGGCTCTTCAGCTGGAACAGTTTCTATGCTTGCCACAGTCTTGCATATGAGCACACTGTGCTTATTACAATTATTTTTTGGGGTTATGAAGACTTAAAATCAGGTTCCACTACTGTACATGATAGGATTGAAGTGCCTTTTAAAAACCTCATGTATTAAAAATGTGTCGTGGAAAGATAAGCTCCATTGGGAGTTGAAAAAGACAAAGCAGAAGAATAAAACCTTGTTATAGTGCTAGTGCATTTCCATTTTTTTTCAATCTTTTCAAAAAGTATTCAGACTATTAAAGATTGATTCTTAACAAGAACTGCTGCAAGACTACGGATATAATAAATATTGCTCATAGCTGTGCCTCTATATATACCTGCTTGTTTACACAACATCCCCCCCCCCCCCCCCCTGTTTTTTTTTTTATGACAGCACCAGGACGAGTGTGTGGTTTGCATTTGTTACAGAGGCTGTGTATTTGGGTTTTAAGGTAGGAAGAGTGTGGTACGCTATATGTTATTATTTGTTTAAAGATGTATGTAATGTAAGGAATTTCACAATGTTTTGTTTCACAATATTGTGAAAATATTTCTTTAGTTAGTTAGAGTTTAGTAACTTAGAGCAGTTACTTCATTTGATTTGCTGGCTGATGTTAGTATGTTTAAAAAAAATTTGGGTAAATGTTTTTATCTTCTGCATTTTCTTGTTATTGTTGTCTCTGTCTCTAACAATTGTATTTCTCTCTTTCCTCAGAGCTGGTCAGTTTGGGGCGGTGTTCAGTTTTTGTATAGTTCATTCCAGAGATTTCAATCTAACACTGTAAGTTTTTGTGAAATGAGATTTGAGTTTTTTCCTGTTTTTTTTTAAAAATCTGGTATCGAATCAGATAAATGGAAAAAAACAGCAAGAAGGTCACTCATTTCTGAATATTGAAAGCTTGCAATGCAGTGATTACAGTGGAATGCAGCATTAACACACTGCACCATAATGCAAATTTGTAAATAACAAGGTCGTGGCATGGCGCCCAAAATTCATTAGCACATTTCAAATATTTTTTTCAAAGTATGTGAAGAAAAGAAGTATATGAATTATTTATGGTCTTGTACAATATAACCACAAATCAGCACCATTATAGCGTCACTAACCACAATGAGTAAAAAAAAATGAGTAAAAAAATATATCTGCTTTTTTCTGAAATCATCTTCCTACTTTAATAAAAATCCCAAAGTATTGTAAAAACCACACATTAACATGATCCAATTTAATGGACCCACCAATGGAGGTCCCACCAAGATATCTTCTTGAGTTGATTGAGTCCTCAAGTGGAGAATCCCCCCCCCCCCCCCCCTCCCCCCCCTCTCTCAACTTGTTTCTTTTTCTATTTCCAGTCTTTTGGCAGCAAGCCTAGTTCTAGTGACTTAGTGGACAGAGGAAACCAGTGCCCTATATGTCAGGATACGGTTAATGAACCAGTCATGCTACCCTGCAAGGTAAGAAGACATGATCGTTGTGTGTGTCTACCAGAGCATGTGGTCATTCACACTTTTGGATAGCAGTGAATGAAATGGGTCAATGGACAGCACCCCTTTTCTTAAATCCATTTTTTAGGAAATAGGATTTGTCTAAGCTTGAAATGAAAAGACGGGAATGTCCCTCCGTCGCCACCAAAAATAATGACACCGTTAAAAATATCGCATGTGACATTCAGCAGGTTCATTTAGTGACTTTTAATGTATTGTTTTTACAGGATTCAAACACTCTGATGGACAGTCTTTATGTGTCACAATACTCGGTCTAACTCTGCACAGGGAATAAAAGAATATCAAGAGTATTCAACTGTCACCCATCAGTGGTTCTCATATTCATAATACTCAAACGTCCTTTTGGTTGTCCCTGTCTTTCCATTTCAAGCCTAAACCCTGTCACCCATCAGTGGTTCTCATATTCATAATACTCAAATGTCCCTTTGGTTGTCCTGTCTTTGTCATTTCAAGCCTACACCCTGTCACGCATCAGTGGTTCTCATATTCACAATACTCAAACGTCCCTTTGGTTGTCCTGTCTTTGTCATTTCAAGCCTAAACCCTGTCACCCATCAGTGGTTCTCATATTCACAATACTCAAACGTCCCTTTGGTTGTCCTGTCTTTGTCATTTCAAGCCTAAACCTATCCTAGCTCCACTATTTACTTTACATGGCTTGACCACAGCGACTCATATATTGTGTTCTGTTTTTTTTACACATATACTTGTAAAACTAGAGATGTGGAGGTTTCCTGTCCAGAGACATCATAAAATTATTTCAGACTTTTTATTTTTAATCCAGCGGTCGTCCCCCCCCCAAAGTTATAAAATGAAACATCACTTCATCATAACTTGTTTATCGCTCTGTTACATTTTAATTCCTTGTTTAATATGCCACCAAGCTTTCCTTCCTGAGATATTGTTTTATCATATACATTGAAGTCCTTAGTGCTAAAAATACTTAAGTCACAAAATACACATTTTGACATAATCAAATTAAAATATTCTTTCTGTTTATAAAATGTGATCATTTTCATATTTTGTGTTGTTTAATTTAGGGACTTTGGCACATTTTAATGTGTTCAAATTCTTGCAGTACACTTGGCTAAACGGGATAAGAAAAGATCACTGTTTAGATTGATTTTGACAAAAATGTGACTTAAGTCAAGTACTTTTAGCATCAGGGTCTTCTTTTGAAGGCATCACAAATGACATTTTGTAAAGGGTCGATTACAAGAGTCCAGAAGCTATTTTTTTTTACCCTCTCTTCCTATTATTATCTAGCAGTTAAGATTAAACTACATAACTATTATTTCATGTGTCTATATATTGTTTTCTCCTCTCTCTCTTTCTTCCCCCCCACCTTCCCCACAGCACATCTTCTGTGAACAATGTGTGACCATCTGGTTTGACCGTGAGAAGACCTGCCCGATGTGCAGGGCAGAGATCACAACAGAGTCCCCGATGTGGAAGGACGGCAACACCAGCCCTCATCTACAGTGGCACTGACATGTTTTTTGTTGTTGTTGTTTTTCATTTTCTGGTCATGACATCTTTTTGGGCAAGGGTTCAGTATTTATCTCATTGGTACCAGTGGCGGAATGATAGAAATGGCAGATCTCCTTTACACGACACTGATTAGTAGTTGTGTTGTAAAGCTGGCAAGTGTTTCATTGGGATTTAAAGTTTACTGTGTCAATGTCTCACGCTTTGGCAACATATGAGAATCTGTTGAACTCTAGGCAACATTTATGAAAGCCATATTTAATTTTATTGTATCCAGAGTAGGAGTTAGGCAAAGTGCAACCGAAGCAATAAAATTAGCTTTGGTTGGCAACATATGAGAATCTGTTGAACTCTAGGCAACATTTATGAAAGCCATATTTAATTTTATTGTATCCAGAGTAGGAGTTAGGCAAAGTGCAACCGAAGCAATAAAATTAGCTTTGGTTGGCAACATATGAGAATCTGTTGAACTCTAGGCAACATTTATGAAAGCCATATTTAATTTTATTGTATCCAGAGTAGGAGTTAGGCAAAGTGCATCCCCAGCCATAAGATTAGCTTCTGCCCTGTTTTGTATTTAAAAAAAAATATTTTTTTTTTAAAATATAAATAGTTGGAGCCTCTTTCAGGCTTGATGTGTTTCTTTTCAATTTTATGTAGCCAGGGTAAATATTGAACTTATTCCCTATGCACAGTGAATGTGAACATGGTTTAAGGGTTAACTCCATTGTTATGGCAGTGTGTACTGTGTACAGTTAAATGGTGGTCTGACTATAATGGACTTGTGCCGAGCGCATGATTTAGAAATATGATCCGTGTGTATACGGTGCCCATTGTGTACTAGAGACTGTGTCATCAACTTGTATTTCAATATTATACTAATTCATGGCAAATAGAATAAAAGTTGCCTTATTTACTAGTTTTCTAGCACATGAAAAAGGATTGGCTATTTAATGGAATTGAACAACAAAATAATCCACAATCCATTACGTAATAGAATGAGGATCCTAATTAAATTCCGAACAATAGTTAATTATTTTTTTAACAGACAAGTATTTCAAGTTTTTAAAAAACAAATATTTTATAAAAATGATTAAGAGTATTTTTGCCAGAGGACAGCCTTGTGTTATAATGGTTTATCTGATTTCCCAATGTTAAAAATTTTGCCAACTTGAAGCACAGTTTACATAAATGTCCTCACATGTAAATAAGCTTGCGAGCAATAAAACTGTGGAAATCATTCAGAAAAAATGAAATTGAGCACCGGTCCTATGAAATATTATATTTTTTAAGGCTGTCATCTCATACATTATTTTCCAGGATGTGTAATATAAGCTCAAGGATATTTTTGTAAAGTTTGATAACAGTAGTAACTGTATTATTATAGTTGTGAGAAAAGTCTGAAATGGGTTTTATTATTATATTTTAATTTTTTTTTACTTCTAGTGAAAAATCCCCTCTGCAGACAAACAAGGGGCCATGATTATATGAAGATATTAATGGTTAGGAATAGGATGAGGAAATCATCTCTGGAATGAGAAAGACATACCATGTGATTGATGAAATTCATTTTTTTGTGATATCTTTGAGTAGAGTTAGGCCTATCCTTGATTTGTTCAAGTTCAAGAAAGGCTGCCAATCACTGTACATGCCGGCATGACCTTGTGTTATACATGCTAGGCCTGTCCTTTGTATATGCTACGCCTGTCCTTTCATTTTAAATGAATCAATATTTTTTTTATATTATAGTAGTAACTATTATGATTAAGTCTAGAATTTATTATTTTAATTTTATTACTCCATTTTGTCTGATCTATGAATAATATATATATTTTTTAAAAATTGATTTTTTTGTTTTATTAGCTTTTAAAAATTATTATCTAATATTTTTAAATTGAATTTTGCTAAACAAAATCAAATTTCACATGGTTCAGAAATCAAAAATGCCTACTAGAAGCCTAATTAGAAGTCAAACCAAAAAAAATAAAAATATGTGTCTGGAGGAAGGGAAAGGGGTGAGGTGCTGTAGTAATACAGCCAAAAAACAACACACTTTTCAAATGAAAAAATCCCATGACTATCATTAAACTTGTTGTAGTTGGAGTAAAGTTATCCAAAGATGCTTGCTGCTAACCAATTAAGCGATGGATGGATCGATCCCTGAATAACCTCCCTTAGCGACTGCCAAGAGTAAATTTATCCATAGAAGCTTGCTGCAACCCAATGAAGTGATTGGTGGATCGATCTCTGGGTAACTTCCCTTAGTGATCTCTTGGTAACTTCCCTTAGCGTCTCTCACAGTATAAGAACAACCAAATGGTAAAAAATAGCTTGAAGTCTCTAATAGAAATTGTTGAATTCAGGGACTGTTCATCATTTTTTTTTTTTTTTAGACCTAGAATTCATCATAAAATTTATTTACAAAAAAATCATAATTTATCAAATCATCTGCAAATAACTTTGTTAATCTGTTAAAAAATAAAAGAATTTATTTGATAAAATAATGGTAAAAAATAGGTTGAAGTTTTTAATAGAAATTGTTGAATTCAGGGACTGTTCTTTATTTTTTTTTTTTTTTTTTAGACCTAGAATTCATCATAAAATTTATTTACAAAAAAATCATAATTTATCAAATCATCTGCAAATAACTTTGTTAATCTGTTAAAAAATAAAAGAATTTATTTGTTAAAACTTGGGGGTGGGGTGGGGTGGAGGGTCTTCTTCAAAGCAATTAATGGCCTACTTTTTTTTAGTCTTGGTTCTTGATTGTTTATTAATAGTGTAAACCCAATTTGTGTAGGGTCTTGAAGTGTCATATTTGTCTGGCAATATCATTTATATCTTTTCAATGGTATATTAAAAATTTGATGCCTGTAATTGACATAGCCTTAGTTTTTTTGTTGTTTTTTTATTCTTTGCATTGTAATAAATTATACTAAATTGTGCCATGTATATTATTGGCACAAAATGTTATATAAATATAGTTTACATTTTAAGGGCACTGGCATATAGTTTAACCACAGTTTCCTTTTTCTCGTATATAATTTTGCGTAACAATTTCGAAAGATGTCAGTTTGTCAATCCCACTGCGGCTGTAAATGAACGATGTAAAAAAAATTTAAAAACTAAAGGTTTGAGGGTTAGTCAGGATTGTTATAAAAATGAATAGGAATATTGTAAAAGGTAAAACCTGTTCTGTGTCATGAGAAGTTTAAGGTTACAGCAGTGAAAGAACTCTGTCAGTATCATTATCATCATGTAGAGGTGTGGTTAGGGTTAGGGTTACAGCAGTGTAAGAACTCTGTCAGAATCATTATCATCATGTAGAGGTGTTGCCAAAGAGTTACACAATTCCTGCAGCAGAATAATTTGAAGAAAAAAATACGTTACAAAAAAATTTCTTTATTGAATGTGAATTGGGTGTATTTAGTTTAGTCTTGGATAACAGTTCTATGATATAGACGTAATTTTAGCAGTTCTATGATATAGATGTAATTTTAACAGTTCTATGATATAGACGTAATTTTAGCAGTTCCATGATATAGACCTAATGGTAACAGTGCTATGATATAGACCTAATAGTAGCAGTTTAAGGATATAGACCTAATAGTAACAATTCTATGATATAGACCTAACGGTAACAGTGCTACGATTATAGACCTAATGGTAAAAAATAAAATGCAGCACCAAGTTGGGGATTGATGAAGGAATGAACCACTGTTAAAATATAATTGTTTCACTCTTGAGTATTTTAAACAGCACTGAGGAGATGTGAAAGGAAAAGTATTGTGATTAGATGGTGAAAGCTTCCTCAGCTTAAGGGACAAACTAAAATATGTGATGTTATTTTACACTCAATTTACAGTGTAGTATTATATGATCTGACTCTTAGAAAACAGACTCTGAATAGAGTCTGTTTTCTAAGAGTCAGATCATATAATACTACACTGTAAACAAAAAAAAGAATGGGGTAATTCAGTATTTTTATATCCAGAGTCTGATAACGAAAATTCCTAACTATGTCTATATACACACACAAAAATGAAATCAATGACGCCATTATTCAGTGTATGTAGTGATCTGACATCAATTATGTCATTAGCCAGTGTATTTGGTTATCTGAAGTCATTGACAGTCTGTATGTGGTGATCTGAAATCAGTGACGTCGTTAGCCAGTGTATCTAGTTATCTGAAGTCAATATGACGTCATTAGCCAGTGAACGCGGTGATCTGGCTCAGAAAACTAACTCTGGACTGGATGTTCAAAATTGCACTCCCAGTTCCCAGCATCGTCAAAGTTAATTTTAAAAAACTCGATATTTTCCCGACTTGCCAGTAGGCCTACTGAATGCTTGACTTGGTTCTCTTGTTTGCCTGATGTAAACTCTATATTTTTTTTTTCGACATTGTGATATATTATTTGACATGAATTGCCAGCTAATGAGTGAACATGGAGATTGCGTGTTGTACAGAATTTTAAAAATAATGGAAATAAAATTTGTTTTTCAAAATTCTTCCACTAGCTGGGTTTCACTTCCAGTGTTTTGTCATACCGGTGTGAAGAAAAAGGGCATGCTTTTTTAAAATATTTTTGGTTAAATATCTAATTTTGGCTCTTATTACTTCATATAGTACTAGTACTATACATATAGTGTTATAAATATAGACTTTATATAGTATTATAAATGATACTTTTACCCAGATATCCTGAACAGTTTTTTTATCTTTAATTTTTTAAATTGATGAACAATTTATTCAATTAGGGCTTTCAGATGTTCCACATACCGGTACAATGTTTAAACTAGAAATAAAGCTAACAATTCTGATAACACAGAAATGCCCATTACTCGTGTTCGTAGCTCCTCCTATGTAGCCTATAGACCAGGCCTGCACAGCATACGACCAGCGGGCCGCATGCGGGCCCGCCAGCACCCACTTTGTGGCCCATCTTCTTTTGCGATATTACAACACATCTAAATGGCCTTATCGTTCAACTTCAAGGTAAAAAAAACAACTTTAAAAAAATAACAATAATTGTATTTCTAAAAGTAACTCGAACAGTTATGTGTCCCAGACTAAGGTTTCATTATTTTCTCAAGTGTTTATTTCTAAAAGTAACTCGAACAGTTATGTGTCCCAGACTAAGGTTTCATTATTTTCTCAAGTGTTTATTTCTAAAAGTAACTCGAACAGTTATCTGTCCCAGACTAAGTTTTCATTATTTTCTCAAGTGTTTATTTCTAAAAGTAACTCGAACAGTTATGTGTCCCAGACTAAGGTTTCATTATTTTCTCAAGTGTTTATTTCTAAAAGTAACTCGAACAGTTATCTGTCCCTGACTAAGGTTTCATTATCTTCTCAAGTGATTCTGGCCTGGTGAAATAACTTTTCACCACATTTACAAAATAACACGACACTGATATCAATTTTTTTTTAGACAATCAGCGACGCTTGTTTCGGAAATTCAAAATGTCAACTAACAAAAAAAAACAAAGGACCCTGATAACTCATACAACTGTTAAAAGTGGGGGACGACACACCGAGTAGGTAGAGATGCGGTCATTTCTCTGAACACTAGAAAGTCAATAATCAAAGATCAACACGTGATCAGCTGCTCGGTGTTGGCAAAATAAAATAAATACAACGCAATAGGCAGTAAACACAAACTTTCTTTAGTATACAGGTGTACACAGAGACACCATTAGAGACATTGTTTCGAGCAAAAATACAAATACTAACAAAAAAATCTGATCCGCCTCCTCTCCCCCCACCCCCCCCCAACCCCCAAACAAGATATAAAAAATACCCGTAGATAAATAAGTAAATACCCTGGCACGGATCTCCGGACAGTGTCTACGCTACAATTGGCGCCGTCTTCCCCCACAGAGACTTGGAGAGAGGATTGGCCACACGCCAAGAACAAAGGCCCGCGCGAGTCATATGGAGAAGATCCATCATCTTTTTCTTTCTTCATTCTATGCCACTTATCTTCCCCTTCATTAACGTGTTTCACTTCACGGCTTTGCATCACATACGTAATAGTTTTATGTTAGTTGTCAATAAATGTTGGTATACATTTGATAACATCTTCATTGTTTAAACACAAGCAACTATATTGCAAACAACACAAAAAAAAAAAAAAAGTTAAAAAAAAAAATGATTTAATTAATATATACATTCAAAATACAACCGTTTCAATTGTTCAATCCCAGACTCCTGTTCGTTTCCTGTTTTTTATACATTTGATAACATCTTCATTGTTTAAACACAAGCAACTATATTGCAAACAACACAAAAAAAAAAAAAAAGTTAAAAAAAAAAATGATTTAATTAATATATACATTCAAAATAAAACCGTTTCAATTGTTCAATCCCAGACTCCTGTTCGTTTCCTGTTTTTCATTGAGGCTAAGATCAGAGCAGCCTTGACTTTGGTCTGGCTATGGCCCGGATCAGGGCCTTGCAGAGCATTCAAAGTTTGATTTAATCAATTATTTTGAAATTTGCAAGAGGCCCACAATTTAGATTTCATTGGGGCCTCAAAATGATGTGCACGGCCCTGACCTGTATCGAACAATTTACTAAGAATACCACAATTTCAAAAGGCAGGTTTCGAGGTAGCCTCCAGCATTGCAATACAAATGGGGGGCGAGGTAAGAAATGTAATGTACTGTAAATAAGCATTGGCACCTCTCCCGACAAATCACCAAGCCCGAAAGGTTTCAGTCGTGAAGAACGAAGGAGCATTGTGAGACCCTCGAATGGCATTAGCTACCCCGGTATAGCAGCACATTTGAGAGTCATCCCCCTCCCCCCCCTCCCCCCAATAAAATGAAATAATTCAGACAGGACATGAATTATGAAGAATTATTCGGCTGTGACCATCAGGCACAGCACCACCTTACCAGCTGTGCCGCGATCTCATGTCAGGTGTGCCTTTGCATTAGGGCCCCAATGGAGGAAACAGCCACTAACATATTAGCACTGTCAGAAGCAGACGCTTAGCCTAAAGCCAAATAGATACGCGTGCAAAAAGCATTTTAATGATATATATTTTGCCAGTCAGACTGGTGCCAGAGAATGGCTTCAGAAAGAGAATGGCTTCAGAAAGGGTATGGCTTCAGAAAGAGAATGGCTTCAGAAAGAGAATGACTTCAGAAAGAGAATGGCTTCAGAAAGACAATGGCTTCAGAAAGACAATGGCTTAAGGAGGAGAACGGCTTCAGAAAGAGAATGGCTTCAGAAAGACAATGGCTTCAGAAGGAGAACGGCTTCAGAAAGACAATGGCTTCAGAAAGACAATGGCTTCAGAAAGAGAACGGCTTCAGAAAGAGAATGGCTTCAGAAAGACAATGGCTTCAGAAAGACAATGGCTTCAGAAAGACAATGGC